ATTCTTGTTTTAACCGGTGTTTAATATTAAACTCGTTATTTTAGTTATTCACCCTTCCAATAATTCATTATGAAATTATCTATTAGTTAATTAGATATCTATTAATTAGTATTGTTAATTTCCTTAATTTATATTTTATATTTTATCTAAATTGAGGATGGATCATATTAGTAAGCCAATTAGTTAATACCTCATTAAGGTTCTAGCTTCTGGGTTACAGCTGCAAACAGGATAGCCGTCTTCTATCAACTGTCCCTCGGCATTCTTCATATATCCAAAAAATGCCCGTACTTCCCACTTTGTCTTCTTTTAGGGATAAAAAATGTCCTCCTGAGCACTGCCGTCTCCTCCTTTGGCCATTATTTCAGCTTTAGCTTCAAGAAAGTTTTGGTCATAAACAACAAAACGCACATGTGCCGCCGGCAACTTCAGCAGATGATACGGTGGCTGGTAAGGGTCACCGCGCCTACACCGCAGCCACGGTAATCCACCGAGATAATATAGTATTTTTAAAAACAAGGCGGTTATTATTATTGTCAACTTTTTTACCAGGGTTTACCGCTACACCGGTTACCGTGACAACCCTACCTCAGAATGGATCATTTTTTGGTACCATCTCATCTGGGGTTCTACATTAGTTGAGCTAACACTAAGGAGTGTAATTCTAACAGGGAAGATGACTGATTGATGAGAGATACTTTGCTTTTCAAATTAACAGCAGTATGTCTTCAGCAGCACTTACCCCCACCCTTGCACAGGCTTTAAAGAAATGGGGTTTATTCAAATTTGCGAGAATTGTGGGCAAACAAAAGATATGGAATTTAAATACAGCATGTGTGAGCAGCACTTATTGCATGTACGTGTGGATGAATTCTACCCTAATGTGTGTGTTTACGAACCTGCATTAAGGACTAATACTTGATATTTGTTTGTTCCTGTTGACGAGAGACATTTTGTAGTGCACATAAACAGACGATGTATTGGAGCATTTTAGCATGCTGCAGTGATAACCTGCTGTTCCTATCTTCTATGAGGGGACACGGTGTTCAGTGGAAAAAGGCAGAATTACTGTAGAAATACCAAAACCATATTTGTTTCTAGTTCAAAAACACGGAAACGCCAAGCTTTAGTACAAATTTCTCATAAGCTAATGTTAAAGATGTGGAACACTAAAACATTTTTTAATGATTATTTCTGATCATAATTGGTCACTCTAGTCTTTCATGCAGGCTGAATATGAAAATGGTCTCCTACACCTATCTCCTGCATGAACTTCTGTTGGACAATAGATGGTGAAGCCTGACAGATCTACAATACGCTGTCACTTAACATTCAAGGACTCACCCATCTGACTCGAGACAGGAAAGGCTGTTGTTGGCTTAGTGTCCAATAAACAGCAGAGAACATCTCTGCTTTTAGAAGCTAACTGTTAGCATTAGTAATTTCACCACACAGCAGATCTCCTCCAGGCTTGTGATATTTGTGGAGATAAAACGTCAATGTTGCAGAGCAAACAGAGTCGGTGGTAGAGTTGTGCTACTGTTAGCCAGTTAGAGGCGAGATGTACAAATACCAGGAAATAAAACTCCTAAATCTGCTGTGTTAAGCTCTTATCTGATGTGGCTCACTGGTCTCACACCTTTAATAATTCAGTAAAATGGTTGGGTTTACGTTAACGGGCCTTTTAATTTCCCGGCATCCTCCTTGCTTTCTGTAATTTTAGTCATAGATATCTGGCCATTTGAAAATCATACTTTTTCATGTATTCTTCAGTTCCAATCTTAGCTTGCATGAATGGTGTAGTATGTGTTTATGACTATGTTACACATCCTTCAGCCTGAATGTTGCAGTGAAAAACTGCCCTGAGTTCAGTGTTTGTGTTTCAGGGTGGAGTTTCAGAAGCCTAGCCTAATGTGGTGTTTGTTGGTGTTATCATAGGCTGTTGGCTTTGGAGTGACAACCCTGACGCGGATGGATCAAGTCACTGGAGATTTTTTTTTTCTGCAGACGTTTTACTAGTATGTAATAGGAAAATGTTATTTTGACCTCAAAATGTTCTAATAAAATATAAAAAAATAGTTTGGGTTTTTGAATTTGCTACTCATGCCCCCAAAATAATCCTTTATTTATTAATTTTTTTCCAAGAGGTGTCATTTCGTAGTGTCGTGTTGCAAGAAATCTGTGCCGGAGCTCTGCTTACTGTCAGTGCAAGATGCTAAGCTGTAAGATGTTCTGTGAAATGAAAGTGCTGTGCGTAAGAAGGGTTCAATTTTATCATTTGGTATGGATTTGTTTTATCAAGTCCAACACATTTAAAATGGATGCAAGTTTGAAAAACCAGATTAAGTGCAAAAACAATCTCTACATTTCTGAAAATTACAGCAAATGTTGGAAGAGCAGTTTGGGGATTTTATTTCTTTTCCAATTTTGTTAAAGATAATAAAATTTAGTTTAGATGTTTATATATTTTTGTCCAAAAGCGTCAGCAGCACCATATATACTTTTAGGTTCTGCTATTGTTATTAGGGATGCAAGTTTTCCAAAATTTCTTTAACCGGTTATTGACGCCCCGTAACGCCAGTTAACCGGAAACCAACCCCCAACAGCCCCCCCCCCACCCCCCCGCACACTAACATTTGCCCCCGCTCTGTAAATATTAACGCTTTTTCCATCTACTCTTTTTAATATAATTTTGATGCACAACTAAAGTCCCACACTCGTTACATTTATTAACAAAAGGTAAAGAGAGAGTGGGATGACTGAAGTGCCTGTCAGACTCAGAAAAAAAACCCACTTTAGTTTTCTTGCATTAAACTAAATAATTACACTGACATTTCTTTATTTTACCAGACAAATTAGGAGTCAGATGCAAGCAGGAGGTGTCATGGCCGACTGACCTGTTGCTGGTCTCGATTCGGTTTGCTGCACCATGTTCTGCCAGGCTCAGCGCTTTGATGTGAGGCTTATTGTGTTCTAAGAATAAACTGCTCTCATGCTGTTTGCTAACTGCTTCATGTCTAAGTCGATGGTTTGAGCACATTTGTTTGTTCATGTGGCAAGCTCATTTCTTCTTCTGTGGTTGCCCAGTAAACATGTTTAGATAGTGGCGCTCTTGCGCCCTCTAGTGGCACAAAATAATTTACACCCCCAGCACAGCAGCAGGACTAGAAGCAGTTTACCAGGCAAAACAATTTCACCGGTTACATTAATGGCAATTAACCAGTTAACCGGTTTTATTAATTCTACCTTTAAAGTGAAATTTCTGAAATAAACAAACGTTTTCATCATATTCTAGGGATGTAAGAAAATATTGATATGGCAATATATCATAATATTCTTTCATGTGATATAATATCGATATTCAAAAGCCTTCTATCTAATTTTTGGCAGAATTTACATGCAAACATTTGTGTTTTTTCTTTTCTTTGGTGCAATTCAAACGGCGAATGCTAGTTGGCAGCAATGTGCAATGGGTTTTGTTTCCACCATTGAAATGTAAATTACTCTGTTATGGTTCAGATACCCCATGTTAAACATGTTAAGTATCAGTTAGAACTGTTTACTGAATATTCCTACAGTAAATTCAGTCTAAAATTATCACTAATAACGTTTGACTGAATGTATAGCAATATATTGTGATACATTTTATCATCTCCCCTGTGTAGATATGTATCGTATTGCCAAAATTTCCCCACCGCACATCCCTACCATATTTAAATTTTTCATGTTTCACCTGTATACTTTTGGAGATGCAAACACAACATGTTTTTCTTTTTTTTGCAAAATGTTATATGGACTAGGAAAAAAAATGAACCATGTACTTACCCTAAACCTACCCTGGTCATTTCATTTATCTTTAGTAGCCATACATAGTTATTTTTAAGGCTGAATTTTGAAGATTTAGATAGACATTATGTATTTCAAATAGGGATGCACAATATATTGGCATCGATATCAGTATTGTCCATGTTGGTCTTTTTTTAACATATTGGTATCTGATAAATAAAACTGGGTCGGTATTAAAACCAATATTTTTCCCATCTTGTTTTCATTTTTTTATCTGTTTCAAAGGGTGATTGGGTGATGTGTATTTGTTTAGTCATGTAATAGTGATTGGAATAATCTCAGAAGCGTAAATGTGTGTGTACATAATGTAAATTCAGCTTTAATTATTTTCATTCTATACAAAATCTGCTGCTTTTAGAAGCAATAATGTCAGTATACCGGTATCGGCAAATATCTATTATCGGCCATAACAGTGATATTAATATCGGTATTGGCCCCAAAAATTTCATATCGATGCATCATTAATTTCAAAGAAAGTTGCCGAATTGAAATATTCTTTGTCAATAAGACTCAGTTTTTACATTTAACATTTGATATCTGTGCAGCTGTACTTGTACATTTAGTTGCAACTAGTTTATCTTGTCTGTGGGGGTCTCTCTGTAAGTGGCTAAATAGAGTGGCTTGTGGATGGTAAGCCCATCTGCTTTGGGTTTGGTAAGGTAAAGGTCATAGTCCATGCTCTCCACAGTGCTCGTTCTTTCAAGGCCCTTAAGCTGCTTACCATATCAGAGTCTCTTTTTATCCCTCCAGTAACAATGACCACCTAGCACAATGCTCTGAACAGAACTCACGAGCTGTAAAAGTTTTTTTATTGGGATGCACAGGAGTCTCGTTTTAGTCAGATGTTTATTGACCTTATCACTTGGAAAACAAGACAATATTGTTGGATAGTGGAGAAAAAAGCTCAGTGGTATGGCATGCCAAACATTTTATTTTTACCATGGTCCTCTCTAGCAAAAATAACATTTAATATATTGACATAAAATATGTCTTTAATTTCCTGCAATGTTAAACAGCCATGTTTAATATATGCTGTTACTGCCATGTAATGACAATATCTTTTTAGTTTTTGCATCATTGGCAACAAAACAAACCTAAACAAGATGTGTGGCAGATGGATATTTATTTTTAAATTTCTGGTCTGTGTGTTACAGGTCTGCCTATCTTTGAACCATCATAATGATCATCACTGACTTGGGCCTGAACTTTACACCTGCTCTGATGGAAAGACACCATTGACACAAGAGGGTGCAAACATCCTGGATGTCTTGACATACAGGACTAGAATAATCCAAGATGGAGAAAAAGAAAATCTGCCCACGCCTTCTAGACTACCTAGTTGTTGTTGGAGCAAGGCAAGTACCAAACACGACTTCACGGTGAATTAGGCTTTGTTTCATGTTTATCTGAATTTAACATAAATCTTCTCACTCTTGGGAAGAAAAACAAAATTGTTTATGGTTCTGATATGTGCCTTCTTTTGAAACTGATTTGTTTCTTAGGCAACCGAGTAGTGACAGTGTGGCCCAGACCCCTCAGCTCCTTCGTCGCTACCCCCTTGACGACCATCATGACTTCCCACTACCACCAGATGTGGTGTTTTTCTGCCAACCAGAGGGGTGCCTGAGTATACGCCAGCGCAGGGTCAGCCTGCGGGACGACTCCTCGTTTGTATTCACTCTGACTGACAAGGACTCGGGAATCACCCGCTATGGAATTTGTGTCAACTTCTACCGATCCTTTCAACGTGGACATCACCGTACTCGAGTGGATAAAAGTAGTCACACAGAGACTACTGCACAAGCAGCGGAAACCGCCAATGATGTGTCTGATGGCAGCAGTGGAGGAGAACCCACTGTGGTATCGGCACCCATCAACTGCGAGTCAGCACTTCCACCTGTCTCTGAAGAAGAAGGTGGGCAGCCAGATGTTGAACAAATTTCTGGAAAGTCACCACAGCAAAGACGGAGTGGGGCGAAGGTGGCAGCAAGAAACCGCAACAGCACACTGACCTCTCTGTGTATCCTCAGCCACTACCCCTTCTTCACCACTTTTAGGGAATGCTTATATATTCTCAAGAGGCTAGTGGACTGTTGCAGCCAGAGGCTAACTCAACGAGTTGGGCTCCCTCGCGCCACACAAAGGTAAGGACTGTTTTGACTGGCAAATGTGCACAACTGCGTTCCTCAAATTTTGGATGTAGATGTGCGCTTGTTTGTATAAGTTAGGGTCACTGTCAACACGAGTTCCTGCAGTTGGATTATTTAATTTGAAGTGGTGCTTACAAAGTTTCTGTTACAACATTACCATTCTCACTGGGAACCCACTTCTGTGACAGAGACGTTGTCCATTTCTCAATATGCATACTTGTTAGAACTTGTGTAGGGATGCAAATTTTCCAAGATTTCTTTAACTGGCTATTGACACCACGTAACGGTTAATAGTCGGTTAACCAGAAACTAACACCCCCCGCTCACAAACATTTGCCCTCGCTCTATAAATAACGCTTTTTCCATCTACTCTTTTTAATATAATTCTGACGCACAACTAAAGTCCCACACTCGTTACTAGGGCTGCAACAACGAATCGATAAATTCGATGAAAATCGATTACTAAAAGCGTTGGCAACGAATTGCGTCATCGATTCGTTGTGTCGCACAACTCTTCCAAAAGCGCCCCCCCTCCCCCCTCCCGCCCGCCGTTGCGCGCAGACCAGAGCAAGTCAGATCAGCGCGAGGGAGAGCCGCAGATCAGCGCGAGGGAGAGCCGCAGATCAGCGCGAGGGAGAGCCGCAGATCAGCGCGAGGGAGAGCCGCAGATCAGCGCGAGGGAGAGCCGGCAGATCAGCGCGAGGGAGAGCCGGCAGATCAGCACGAGAGAGAGAGCCGGTACCAGCAGATCAGCGCGAGGGAGAGCCGGCAGACTTGCGCTGCTGCGAACCGGTTCCGCATTGTTGCACAGCGATCCAGGCAGCTGCTTCCAGCGCACGGTCCATTCTCAAAGTGGCGCAACCAAAAAACTATAATTAGCACACGATCGTTCATGTCCGCACATGTTCTCTATTTTCTGTCTTATTTGTGCCTGAAGCTCGCTACTGCGGAGCTCATCACCTGTGCTGTGGTGATGTCACCTCACGCAGCATCGAAAACGCGCTCTGCGCTTTTCGGTCAGGAGATCCCTTTGATCTGCTCAAAAGTAACTGATGAGGTGAAAAGGTAAGAATCCAGGCAACAGATTTTCTGGAGAATTAAGAGGAGATGCAGGAAGATGAGAGACAGACAGAACAGGAAAATAGTTCAATAAAAACAAGAAAACAAAACAAAGTGTTGAAAAGTAAAATGTAGGTAGATTTATCTCCACTACACGTTTTTACCAGTAAAAAACAATAAGTTATACACATGTCATATTTATACATCTGATACAATTCAGATCACCTTCCAAACTCAGTCACACACCCAGGGCCGTTTCAAGACATTTTGGGGGCCAAGGCAAAATGCCCCCCGCCACCCCCCCAATAACTGGGCTCCCCAGAAGCCTCTGTGTAATTCATGCCCTCTCCAGTAGTGTTAGTTATACAGTGTTTATAAAAGCCCCTCAGACATTACTGACATGTTCTAATATTATCAGATGAAAAACTAAATTATCAGACATGCTGTCTCATCTGCTGCTTTTATAAACTTGCAAAAAGTAACAAAACCATTTGAAAGCCACTATTTGTGGATTCTCTGAAAGTTTCCATGGAGTGTGTGACAACTTATTTTTTCATTGATCCTATCGTCTAATCTCACAGCTGAAACAAGCATCCTTAATAATCTGTGCACAGGAAGCTTATGCTGTAGTAAAACAAAAGGTATAATAATTTATTATTAATAAAACCTTGTTGCAGCACTAAAGCAGAAAAATTAGATTTTGCATTAAATATGCAAAATATTTACATATGAATTGTTTTAGAGCCCTTTTATTGGCAGAATCTGATATTAATTTAGTTCTTACAAAAAATGGGTCCCAACATGGTTTGTGTGGCGTTGCCATAGTGTGACGTCATAGGCACAGATCCCCTGTCCTCTTGTTTGGAAATGGAAATATGGTCACCCTACATTAAACAAACTGTCCACCCGGGCTTTTGCACTGCACAGAGAAGCTTCGCTGCCTACGACTGAACGTCAGTTGAGAGTCAGTCTCATGCAGACTGACCAGTGAAGAGAGGGCCTCAAGTTAAGACCCTCTCCTCATTGGTCAGTCCACACGAGGTGGGTCAAAGGTTACTCTGGGCGGGCTACGTGTTGTCAGGCATTCAAGTATTGAGTATATTTACTGCATATTACAGTAAAATATTCTGTATGTGACCACATTATGGTGATCCTTGGGTCGTGATGATGGAGCCCTTGAATATTGTTGCCCAGGGTACAACAAAGTGTTAATCTGGCCCTGGTTCTGCCGTCACATTCCCGCAGAAACTGGTTGGTCACACCGGGGCCAGACTACTAGCGTGTGGTTTTACAACCACAATGTCCTCAGAAGCAAAAACGCTTTTAAAAGGGAGGGAGGAGTCCTAACTGTTGCTGCAGGCGTGTTGTGTGAGAGTGCAGTTATATACTGGTTAATATATTTTTGGGTTCAGTTGCTTTCATGTGGCCTAATGTGAGTCTATTTGGGATCATTGGAATGATCAGCAGCATTTCTTGATGTGACTTTATGGCAGTTGCCCAGGGCATCATCGCAAGGAGGATGGCATTCATTTACTTTTGTTTTATTTGGTATTTTTTCAGTCATTTTTGGAAATAGTGATCAATTTTGATTAATTCACAGCCTATGTTTAATTACATTTAAAATAAATGTCAACAGATGAGATCAAACAAAACAGATGAGAATTGCCCTTAAGCTGTTTAACTTGGACCAAGCATTTTAGGTCACAGATAGATGTAGCTTAGGGTCTCTGTCTATACACCTTTTAAGACAATTTAGGTGATGGCATGTTGTTTTTCTGCTATTGAACTGTTTTCTAATAATGTTGTGTTAAATAAAGTGAAGGAAGGAGAGAAATAACGTTTCCCTAGCAGTTTTTAAAAATTTCCCCATGTAATCCGATTAATCGATTAATCGTGTCGAGACCCCATCCGATTAATCGATTATCCAAATAATCGTTTGTTGCAGCCCTACTCGTTACATTTATGAAGAAAAGGTAAAGAGAGAGTGGGATGACTGAAGTATCTGTCAGACTCAGAACTTGTTGCGCAGTGGACTGCCAGGCATCAAATACACAGTTAGGGATGGGTACCGAATTCGGTACATTTTAAGGTACCGACCGAATTCCACATTACTGACTGAGCACCGATTCACTTCATTTGAAATGGTGCCTCCTTTCGGTACCCGTCCTTCACAACGTGAACTTGCCTAGACAGCTGCGCATGCGCAAGAGCTTTATGTCATCGGTCACTGCGAGCGAGTTGTAAACAGAGCAGCATGGTGGAAAGAACGAAAGCTAAAGCTTGGGTCCACTTCACTAAATGTGATGGGTAACTGGGTGATGATGAAACCAGCGACAACGATCTAAGTGAGACATCCTCATCTTAATCTGCTCCGGTAGGTAAATAAAATGTTTAAGATAACGTTAGCTTGATTTGTTAGCTTCCGTTTCACTAATGGTGCGTTCGCTTTCTCTTCGGAACTCCGAAATTCCGACTAGAAGAACATGAACGCGCTCTAAAGTTTGGCTTCACTTTACTAAATGCGATGGGTGATTGGGTGAAGATGAAACCAGTGACAACGATCTAAGTGTGAGGCAACATCGTTTAAATCTGCTCCAGCAGTTAAATAAACTGTTTAAGATAACGTTAGCTTGATATGTTAGCTTGCTATGCCACCATTGCTATCATCTAATGGTGCGTTCACTTTCTCCTCTGAAATTCTAACTTCCCAGTAGGAAAAATTAACTGAAAAAGGATGGTAAAAGGAATGAAGATACACAGTAAATTTAGTTCACAGTAAAGATGTTTGCTTCAATTTAATTATCAACTTATAAAACTACAAGGACAATGTTAAAATACAAACCGTTGTATGTTATTTATTGTGATATTTATCAAATATGGTTATATATTGAGAAAAACATATATTTAATTATAAAAGAGAATTAAAAATAATAAACACTCAAAAGTATCGAAAATTGGTACCGTTAAGTACCGGTATCGATTCGTAGGTACCGGTAATTAGTACCGGATCGATTCAAATGTCAAAGGTACCCATCCTTGCGATTGTGCATTCTGGAAGCCAAAGTCTTTAAAAAATGCTTAGTTTTCATACATTGAGCTAAATAATTACACTGACATTTCTTTATTTTACCAGGCAAATTAGGAGTCAGACGCAAGCAGGAGGTATCATGGACCTAGGGTTGGGCATCGTTTGATTCCAATTCTTTCAAGACATGCTTTAAATGAGCCAGCTAACCACAGGTCCTACTTGATGAAATAATCAACTTCATTATGACTTTTAATTCTATGAACAACAACGTCACCTTCATTTAGACAAAAACATGTTTTGGAGACAAAAAGATTATTAATCTGTGCTGCACACAGGCAGCTGGTGTGATCAGCTCTGAGAAGCGTTGATCACAAGCATTGATCACAATTTGCAGATCACGTTTACTTTTCACGTAGATCGGCCAAGGATTCCTTTTCCGTTGGCATTCTAGGAATCAAAACTAGGAGTCGAAAAAAAAAACTTTGAACAATTCCGGGAAAAACTAACAGTTGGAACTGGTTCCAATCGATGCCCGATACTCGATGCCCAACCCTATTAATGGCACAATGACCTGTTGCTGATCTCTGTGCAGTTTGCTGCGCAGTGTTCTGCCAGGCTCAGTGCTTTGATGTGAGGCTTATTGTGTTCCAAGAATGAAATAACTAATTATAAACAACTCTAACGCTGGCTTTTTGCTAACCGCTTCATGTTGGAGCACATTAGTTTGGTCATGTGACGAGCTCCTGTCTTCTTTTGCTGTCGCCCAGTAAACATATTTGATAGCGGCGCTCTTGCACCCTCCAGTGGCACAAAATATATTGGACCCAGCGCAACAAAAGGACTTAAAGCAGTTAACCAGGCGAAACTATTTTACCCGGTTACAACATTAACAGCAGTTAACTGGTTAACTACGTACATCCCTAAACTTGTGTACTTTTGAAATGTCATTGATGTTGGCCCAAGTACTGATCCAGCCTTGAGATACCCAGGACGAATCTCATCCACCCCCGGGGCTCCGCCGCTGTGTAGTTGTTTGACTACCTCAGCAACTTCTGCCCCCGAGATTGGACAGTCCATCCCCAGGTCTCCCGGCTCTGGCTCCTCCTCGGAATGCACAAAGGTGGGATTGAGGAGCTCCTCAAAGTATTCCTTCCACCGCCCGATTATAGCCCCAGTTGACGTCAGCAGCTCCCCATCCCCACTGTAAACAGTGTGAGCGAGTTGCTGCCTCCCTCTCCTGAGGCGCCGGACAGTTTGCCAGAACCTCTTTGGCGCCGATCGATAGTCTTTCTCTATGGCCTCACCAAACTCATCCCACGCCCGAGATTTTGCCTCGGCAACTGCTTCTGCTGCACCCTGCTTGGCTATCCGGTACCCGTCTGCTGCCTCCGGAGACCCACAGACCAGCCACGCCCTGTAGGCCTCCTTCTTCAGCCTGACGGCTCCCCGAATCTCTGGTGTCCACCAGCGGGTACGCGGGTTGCCACCACGACTGGCACCGGCCACCTTGCGACCACACCGCCTCAACAATCGCAGAGTGGAACAAGGCCCTCTCGGACTCGATGTCCCCCACTGCTCTCGGGACACAGTCAAAGCTCTCCCGGAGGTGGGAGTTGAAGACCGTCTTGACAGGTTTTTCTGCCAGGCGTTCCCAGCAGACCCTCACTATGCGTTTGGGTCTGCCAGGTCTACGCGGCATCTTCCCCTGCCATCTGATCCAACTCACCACCAGGTGGTGATCAGTCGACAGCTCCGCTCCTCTCTTCACTCGGGTGTCCAAAACATACGGTCGCAGGTCAAATGATACGACTACAAAGTCTATCATCGACCCGCGACCTAGGCTGCCCTGGTACCAAGTGTACCGATGGGCATCCTTATGTTCGAACATGGTGTTCGTTATGGCCAAACTGCGGCTTGCACAGAAGTCCAATAACAAAACACCACTCGAGTTCAGATCAGTTGGGCCGTTCCTCCCAATCACACCCCTCCAGGTCAAGCTGTCATTGCCCACGTGAGCATTGAAGTCCCCCAGCAGGACAATGGAGTCCCCTGATTGAGCACTATGTAGCACTCGTCCCAGGGACTCCAAAAAGGGTGGGTACTCTGAACTTATATTTGGCGCATAAGCACAAACAGTCAGGACCCGTTCCCCGACCCGAAGGCGCAGGGAAGGTACCCTTAAACAATCTAATTAAAATCACCTCAAATTTAGAGTTTATTCCTGTGCGCATCGTGCGTGTGCTAATGCCGATTAATGATCAGAATCAGACCAGTGGCCGACAGCTTTAACATATTGTTTTTCCCCGTTTTACATTTGAGAAGTTGGCAACAAAGCTAAACATTTGACTTTATTTTTCCACACATTTGCTTCTCTTGCTGTCCACATGCTATCAGTGTGTTTGGCAGGATTAAAACAGGAGGCTTTGTCTGTAGCTCCATGTGGTTTTACAAGCCATCTGCAGCTTGTGAATGTTCACAGTAGGCTTCATAATACTTCACCTCACCTTGATGATGACTAATGGAAAACAAAATACCCACAGCACATTTAATCGGTTTTGTTTGAGTATTTAGTTGCTAATCAAACATTTTATTCATCCTGCAGGCTCAGGTAAAAAGCAACACTTAACCCAACATTTGTGTCTCATATCAATAATGATACGACTACTATATATATATATATATATATATATATATATATATATATATATATATATATATATGTATATAGTTATTTAGAGAGTTATGGAAGAAATATTCTCTCCAGTATTGTTTTTTAGACATTGAATTTATGACAGAAAAAAAATTAAATACACAATTTCACAGAATTTTTTTTCATTTCTTTAAAAAAAAGTCATATTCTGGTGGTATTGTATTTCTTCCGTAGTGAGCGATGTATAAATGTTCTAGTAAAGTTTTTTCTTTAATGAAACTTTAATTTTACAAACAAAATCTCAAGATGCCAGCAAAAGTCATTGGTTAATTTTACTATTACAACAAGGAAAATATTTTACCTATTTTTTGTGTGCGTATTTTTTCAATAGACATTGAGGGAGCAGCATCTCAATCAGCTACTACTGCTAAAGCTAGTGACTTAATATAGAGTCGCAACAAATTTTTCAGTAGTCTTAAGACGGTGCACTTTAAACACTAACGTTCCTGAGAAGGATCCTGCCTGTATGATTAAAAACTGCCATTTAGGATGTGGATTTTTGTATTTGATGTAATGCAAACTATTGATCTTTTATTTTTTTATAACTTTAGGTTAAGTCTTTCCCTTTAGTGGACAGAATAGTGTTTAGTAGTGACGTTGCGCTGTAGTGGTGCAGGATTTGCTGAGCTTCCTCGTTTTAATGCCATTGGTGACTGAGTAGATGATACTTTAGAATCGTGGAAGTGTACATTAGGTTTTGAATTTTTTTTCATTTGCTGCATTTATTTGTAAAAGAGGTGTGGCTTTCTGTCTCATCTCTACAAGGTACTTACATTTTTTCAGATGTTTTGATTCATTTAAATTTTTTTGGTTAAATGTTTCAAAAGTGTCAGCTGCATTAAACTGTGGTGACTTGTATAATCAAAGCCAAAGGTGACATAGACCTGAGAATAGTTTTGTTTTCTTCTCTTCCCCCTGGCATGACTGGTTCAAGCATGATGTTGCAATGACAGAGAAGGAGGAGAGCCATCGTGTAATGGCTCAGAGCACTTTCTGCCATGGCAGCTCTGACAGATTGAGGTCTCTGGCTGCCGTTGGGTAGCAGCTGCAGTAGGTTTGAGGGCTCTGAAGAACTAATGACTTACCTCCCTGCCACACACACACACACACGTACAGAAAATATACACTTCAAGAAGAGTGAAGGCATCATGCTTGTGTTTAGTTAAGGGTCTATCGATATCTTGGTGATTGCTTAGAGCCTCTCGTGTGTTTCAGTATCATTTACACATCAGATTAGTGATTTCACAGAGTGTTTGCTAAGGGCTTTTGGTGGTTGTCCGCGGCAACAGAATAAGCCACCAATTCACTTTAATGTGTTTCGGGTTAATTTATGAATTAGGAATTTTTGGGCTTTTTATTGAGTTAAATTTTCTAAATGTATGTTGTGGATGATTTATGTGTATGTGTGTGTTAAAAAAACTACTTTAATGTGTTTTTAATACTAGATATGTTTTAAAATATAACAATTTTTTGCATGCCAATAAGAAACATTCTGAAATAGAGAATGCTCTGATAATTGGTCCTGTATGATTGCTATATGTAACCATGCTTAAGCTGTTCAAAAGATTCAGTGAATATTTCAACAACAAATGGAGAAACAATATTATTACATGTTTCTTCGTCTGTTCTAACAACTGCTTGAATGTTGAGACATTTCAATTCCACTAAGGTTTAGACATTTGAGAGCAAGTCTTTCATTGTTCTAACTTTGAGTGATTTTGTAATTTGGAGACATCATTTTGACATTTTGAAGCTTACTCAATGTTCAGAATCATTACATTATTTAGCATTTTCATTTATCAAAAGAAGTGACCTCTTTCTGTAACTCATGAATGCAGTGTTTGGGTAAATGCCTTAGAATATTTGCCTGTGTTTAACTTTTGCAGGGACACCATGTGGCGTGTGTTTACCGGAGCGTTGTCGGTGGAAGAGAAAGGCAGCCAGCTGCTAGCTGACCTACGGGAGATTGAATCATGGGTGTACCGGTTGCTACGTTCACCAGTAGCGGTGGCAGGTCAGAGGCGTGTAGATGTGGAGGTGCTACCCCACGAACTGAAACGGCCGCTCACCTTCGCCTTGCCTGACAACTCTCGTTTCTCCTTGGTCGACTTCCCGCTTCACTTACCCTTGGAGCTGCTGGGCGTGGATGCTTGTCTTCAGGTCCTCAGCTGTGTGCTGCTTGAGCACAAGGTAAACACAGGAAGAACAGTGATTTCAGGATGCAGATGTTATCCTTTGTTGATATGATTTGTGTTACCGGTTAATCCAAAGTTTTATTGTTGTCATCTATAATATTTCAGGATATGAACAAAATACAGTCTGCTATGCATTCCTTGACAATGTTTGGAAAAAATCTTGGACAAATACCACATGATACTGTATCTTCTGTTTATTTCTAAAACAGAGGAGCATTTGTGGAAATACACCTGATGACTTGTGAAACTACCTCTATCTGCTAAAACTAGACATAATTATCGTCTGTGTGACCTCATCAGTCTTTCTCAGTAATGTTGAGGGTGTTATTCATCCTTTTTGTTTAACATAATGTTGCTGCTCTTCGAGGCTTGCAGTCATTGCTTGGTTTGTGATCAGCTTAAAGATGAGGTTTGATCTGATCAGCCTTTTTGTTTCTGTTGTGCAGCTGTGTGTAAGATAAGTGATCCTGTTGCATGACCCATTTAAAGTTCAGCTACAGTCATTCAGACATGTCTTCACATTTGTCTCTTGAACACTTAAGTGTACAACGATCACAATCGCGACGTGCCGAAAACATTAGGTTTTATACAAGTGCTCAAACTTGAGATGATTAAACAATAAGTGCATTTGATGAGTAGTAACCACACAGTTTCACTTGAGGGCATTCCCATTATTTTGTGTGGACCCCATGTTCCTAATCAAGAATCATCAATGTAGCAGTGATGATGTGCAGCCAGTCAATATTGGCTCTTTATTTCTTCTTTGTAATCCCTCCTCTTGTTGAAGCAAAACAATGTAATATTAGAAAATGTAATTTACTCAAATGGACATAAATGTATGCGGTTTTAACTGATGGTGAAAATCCACTTTTTAAATTTTGAGATGATGTCTACTTACCAGTAAGTCGGGCTCTTTTCCAGTGAGCGTTGGACTCCACCAAGGCTGTCCTTTGTGCCTAAGGATCAGGTCCCTGCTTTTTGCAGATGATGTGGTCCTGTTGGCTTTATCAGAACTAGGGCTGCAACAACGAATCGATAAATTCGATGAAAATCGATTACTAAAAGCGTTGGCAACGAATTGCGTCATCGATTCGTTGTGTCGCACAACTCTTCCAAAAGCGCCCCCCCTTCCCGCCCGCCGTTGCGCGCAGACCAGAGCAAGTCAGATCAGCGCGAGGGAGAGCCGCAGATCAGCGCGAGGGAGAGCCGCAGATCAGCGCGAGGGAGAGCCGCAGATCAGCGCGAGGGAGAGCCGGCAGATCAGCGCGAGGGAGAGCCGCAGATCAGCGCGAGGAGAGCCGCAGATCAGCGCGAGGGAGAGCCGCAGATCAGCGTGAGGGAGAGCCGGTACAGGCAGATCAGCGCGAGGGAGAGCCGGCAGACTTGAGCTGCTGCGAACCGGTTCCGCATTGTTGCACAGCGATCCAGGCAGCTGCTTCCAGCGCACGGTCCATTCTCAAAGTGGCGCAACCAAAAGACTATAATTAGCACACGATCGTTCATGTCCGCACATGTTCTCTATTTTCTGTCTTATTTGTGCCTGAAGCGCGCTACTGCGGAGCTCATCACCTGTGCTGTGGTGATGTCACCTCACGCAGCATCGAAAACGCGCTCTGCGCTTTTCGGTCAGGAGATCCCTTTGACCTGCTCAAAAGTAACTGATGAGGTGAAAAGGTAAGAATCCAGGCAACAGATTTTCTGGAGAATTAAGAGGAGATGCAGGAAGATGAGAGACAGACAGGACAGGAAAATAGTTCAATAAAAACAAGAAAACAAAACAAAGTGTTGAAAAGTAAAATGTAGGTAGATTTATCTCCACTACACGTTTTTACCAGTAAAAAACAATAAGTTATACACATGTCATATTTATACATCTGATACAATTCAGATCACCTTCAAAACTCAGTCACACACCCAGGGCCGTTTCAAGACATTTTGGGGGCCAAGGCAAAATGCCCCCCCACCCCCCCCCCCCACCCCCAATAACTGGGCTCCCCAGAAGTCTCTGTGTAATTCATGCCCTCTCCAGTAGTGTTAGTTATATGGTGTTTATAAAAGCCCCTCAGACATTACTGACATGCTCTAATATTATCAGATGAAAAACTAAATTATCAGACATGCTGTCTCATCTGCTTATTTTATAAACTTGCAAAAAGTAACAAAACCATTTGAAAGCCACTATTTGTGGATTCTCTGAAAGTTTCCATGGAGTTTGTGACAACTTATTTTTTCATTGATCCTATCGTCTAATCTCACAGTTGAAACAAGCATCCTTAATAATCTGTGCACAGGAAGCTTACCGACGCTGTAGTAAAACAAAAGGTATAATAATTTATTATTAATAAAACCTTGTTGCAGCACTAAAGCAGAAAAATTAGATTTTGCATTAAATATGCAAAATATTTACATATGAATTGTTTTAGAGCCCTTTAATTGGCAGAATCTGATATTAATTTAGTTCTTACAAAAAATGGGTCCCAACATGGTTTGTGTGGCGTTGCCATAGTGTGACGTCATAGGCACAGATCCCCTGTCCTCTTGTTTGGAAATGGAAATATGGTCACCCTACATTAAACAAACTGTCCACCCGGGCTTTTGCACTGCACAGAGAAGCTTCGCTGCCTACGACTGAACGTCAGTTGAGAGTCAGTCTCATGCAGACTGACCAATGAAGAGAGGGCCTCAAGTTAAGACCCTCTCCTCATTGGTCAGTCCACACGAGGTGGGTCAAAGGTTACTCTGGGCGGGTTACGTGTTGTCAGGCATTCAAGTATTGAGTATATTTACTGCATATTACAGTAAAATATTCTGTATGTGACCACATTATGGTGATCCTTGGGTCGTGATGATGGAGCCCTTGAATATTGTTGCCCAGGGTACAACAAAGTGTTAATCTGGCCCTGGTTCCGCCGTCACATTCCCGCAGAAACTGGTTGATCACACCGGGGCCAGACTACTAGCATGTGGTTTTACAACCACAATGTCCTCAGAAGCAAAAACGCTTTTAAAAGGGAGGGAGGAGTCCTAACTGTTGCTGCAGGCGTGTTGTGTGAGAGTGCAGTTATATACTGGTTAATATATTTTTGGGTTCAGTTGCTTTCATGTGGCCTAATGTGAGTCTATTTGGAATCATTGGAATGATCAGCAGCATTTCTTGATGTGACTTTATGGCAGTTGCCCAGGGCATCATCGCAAGGAGGATGGCATTCATTTACTTTTGTTTTATTTGGTATTTTTTCAGTCATTTTTGGAAATAGTGATCAATTTTGATAAATTCACAGCCTATGTTTAATTACATTTAAAATAAATGTCAACAGATGAGATCAAACAAAACAGATGAGAATTGCCCTTAAGCTGTTTAACTTGGACCAAGCATTTTAGGTCACAGATAGATGTAGCTTAGGGTCTCTGTCTATACACCTTATAAGACAATTTAGGTGATGGCATGTTGTTTTTCTGCTATTGAACTGTTTTCTAATAATGTTGTGTTAAATAAAGTGAAGGAAGGAGAGAAATAACGTTTCCCTAGCAGTTTTTAAAAATTTCCCCATGTAATCCGATTAATCGATTAATCGTGTCGAGACCCCATCCGATTAATCGATTATCCAAATAATCGTTTGTTGCAGCCCTAATCAGAACATGATCTCTGGCTCTTGCTGGAGCGGTTCCCAGCCGAGTGTGAAGCAGCTGGGATGAGATTCAGTTCCTCAAATGCGAGACCATGGTGTTGAGTCGGAATAGGGAAGAATGCCTTCTCCTTGACAGGGATGAGATCTTGTCCCAAGTGGAGGAGTTTAAGTATCTCAGGGTCTTTTTCACGAGTGAGGGAAAGATGGAGTGCGAGATCGACAGGGGGATTGGTGCTGTGTCTGCAGTGATGCAGGCGTTGTACTGATTTGTCGTGGTGAAAAGAGAGCTGAGCCAGGAGACAAAGCTCTCTATTTACCGGTCGATCTACGTTCCTACCCTCACCTATGGTCACGAGCTTTGGGTAGTGACTGAAAGAACGAGATCGTGGATGCAAGCGGCTGAAATGAATTTTCTCCGCAGAGTGCCTGGGCTCTCCTTTTAGAAATGGGGTGAGAAGCTCGGTCATCCGGGAGGGGCTCGTAGTAGACCCGCTGCTCCTCTTAATTGAGAGGAGCCAGTTGAAGTGGCTCGGGCATCTAGTTTGGACGCCTCCTAGACACCTCCCTGGTGAGCTTTTCCGGGCACGTCCAACCAGGAAAAGGCCTAAAAGAAGACCCAGGACACGCTGGAGAGACTTAAGTCTCTCGGTGCCGTAAGACTCCCCTGGAGGAGCTGGCCCAAGTGGCTGGGGAGAGGGAAGTCTGGGCCTCCCTGCTTAGACTACTGCCCCTGCGACCCAACCCTGGATAAGCTTCCAAAAATGAATGGACGATGTCTAATCAGGACCCACATTTTATTTATTGGGTACTCCTCTCTGAAAACGCATTCTTTTTGTAACTAGCCTAGAAATCCAGGCAAACTATAACAGTGGCAAAAAGTTTTGCTCTGCAGGTTGGCCTAGCCATGATCTATTTTAGCCTCAGCAGGTCTACCGTTGGCCCAAACAAATTTGTTTCTAGTCAATTAGAGTTCTCTGTTTGTAGAGACACATTGGGTGGACCTAACACCCGAGCTGCAACGGAGAAAAAGTAGCGGCTCAGGAACGGTGCTCATTTCAAATGGCTTTGGCATCAACATTGAAAAATTTAGACTTGAGCTTTTCTTTGAGACATGAGCAGATAGAGACACGCTATTCCTTTTATTTAGGAAAAGGTGTATTTACTTTTTCTTCTTTGTTGGTTTTTGGCGGACTGCCGTTGTTGACTTATTCCCATATGACTTAATACGTCAAGTTGTCTGTCGCTCTGATTGGTCCTTGCGCTGTCCAATTGCATATGGAGACAGTTTACAAGACAACCATGGATTCCACCATTATGACCAAGCTCTGGCTATGGGTCATGTCCAGACATTTAAAAATATTTTTATTTTATTTTTAAAAATATAGGATGAATTGCCAGGGTACTTGGGAGCCAGAGTGGTCCAAAAATAAAAATCCAGTTACTTATTTTTTTTATTTTTATTATTATCCCCCAAAATATTTTCAAACATCTCCACAGTAGGTGACCATGGTCACTTTTTGTTTCTGTATTTTCACCTCTGAAACCTTTCAGTGTGGTGCTGTGAATAGTTCATGACAAAGAGGACAACTCTTCCCCTTTTCTCTGTGTCATGTGCTTTTGTTTCACTCCTCCAGCCATTAGTAGGAATGTAGCAGGAATCCTTGTTTGGATGGTGCTGGTTTAATATTACTTTGGTTAACATTAGCAAGGAAACATGGGCTCAGCTCCCAATCAGCTTGTGCTTCTCTGTTTCATTTAGAATAATGATCAAAGCATCAAATACATGCTCATTCTGACTTGCTTGTGCTTTTAATGACTTACAAATACAAAGACAATGAATAGATCAGTGACATTTATGACCATGGATCTTCTCTTTTACAAGAAATCATGCCCACATGTTAGTCTTCAATGGTATAAGCCAGGTCTCATTGGGTTTTCGGTTTCACTTTAATTCTTTACAGGTTATTCTTCAATCCAGAGATTACAATGCTTTGTCGATGAGTGTGATGGCCTTCGTAGCCATGATCTACCCACTGGAGTACATGTTCCCTGTTATCCCCTTACTGCCAACATGCATGGCTTCTGCTGAGCAGGTAAGATCAATTGTTTTAGAATTAATAAGACATTTCTTAAATTAAATATTTACCAACATGCATATACCATCCGTTGTAACATCATGTGTGTGACTAAGTGATGTGTTTTCTTGTCACCACAGCTCCTTCTGGCTCCAACTCCCTACATTATCGGTGTACCTGCCAGCTTCTTTCTCTACAAATCAGATTTCAAAATGCCAGACGACGTTTGGCTAGTCGACCTTGACAGCAGCAAAGTGCGTATCAACACTTTTTTGCCATCTTTCCCTGTTTTTTTAATCTAGATCTCATCTTTAGGCATTCTCTTGTTTCTAAACACAAAAATGTTTCCACATAAAGTGAATTAGTTTTGCTCTGCAGGTTATTGCACCTACCAATGCAGAGATTCTGCCACCTCTTCCAGAGCCTGAAGCAGGTGAACTCAAGAAACATCTAAAGCAGGTATCGTTTGTGATTTTTCTGGTTCTTATTTTAAATTTAGCCAGATTCTGCAACAGTATGGCAACACAAGCCTCTGGGACAGCTGTCATGGATGAGTTGTGACCAGTTGTAGCTCTGGTCACTTTGTGAGTCAACCACGCACTGGAATAAATAATAAAATTCTCTTTCAGCCATTTGGAGAGTAGATGTCTCCATCAGCAAGTAGTATGTATTGTAGATGCAGGGTTTCCCCCAGCGCTTTATAAGCCTGGCGGCCCGCCAGGCTTTGCTTGCCCACCCGCCAGGCTAAGAGTCATGCCCCGCCCCCCTCCCCAACCCTACCGTGTCCGCTGACACGAACGGCGCAACAAAACTAGAGCCCTCCATCAGCTGATACTGGTGAGAAACAGCAGCGGAACGTGTGCAACCCCTTCACCCCCCCGCTCTCACAGAGGAGCGCTGCAAGACGGCCGAAGCCGCCAGGCTTAACTCTTTTTCTGGTGGAAACCCTGAAATGGGTGTGGGAGCATTTGATATTGGTTTTGTAGTGCACTAACACATGATTATTGTTTTCTTTTATTCCCTCTTTTCTTTTGCATGCTCTAGCTCTTGGAGGTAATTTTAGGTGCTACTACCCAAAGTCTGTAGTGTTACTGACTGCAAATACATTCTGCTAGAGTCCCAGTTAACTAAACTTAAGAATCTGGTTCTGATTCATTAAAACATTGCATGCTTTTGTACCTAAGCACAGCAACTGTATACAATCATTAATACTTAAGTTAAAATTTATGCTATGTGTGTAGTTAATGCCTGTATAAAATGTTGTCATGGTTAGTTGTGTATGGCTTTGGATATTTGCTACTTTATAGTTGTGCATTTTAACATCATTTTTACAACCTTTTAAAATAAATTTCTAGATTTCCAGATATTTTTTTGGCTGTTGAGGTTAGTTAATACAGGAACAAATGTTTTCAGCATGTTTTCATCTTGGTACAACTCGCTAATAGGAGAAGGAATGGGGCCACAGATTTAATGTAATTAATGTATTTTTTTCATAGCTCAAAATATTTAAAGTTATTCTACCTGTTATGGATTTTAAGATGAGCTTGATCATTGTTTTTTCCAGAACATCGTAAAAATGATGGTTCTCTACCATCTTTTTGTATTTTAATAAAACATTGTTTTTATTACTACGATAGTCATTTTACTAATCCTCTTAGTTGGTTTAATGTATTTATTTTATTCATGCAAACCAAAGATATGATTAAAAGAGACACAGTAAAGCCTTCTTCATTAGTTTTTTTTAAGTAAATGGTCAATATTCAATTCCACTTTCTTATTTGTGGTCATTTTTTTAAATTAGTTGGAAATCCAACTGATGCCTGTTAGGCAAATCCAGTCACTTGTGTAGTTTGGTTGGGGTATAGAATTAATATGTGCACATTTTTGCCAAAGAAAGTTCTTTTTTATTCTGATGACTCAATCTCATCCAAATTAATTTATACTCAACATGCTGCTGATAGCAATTATTAATTTCATTCGCTTTGAATCAGAGCCAGTGTGTTAGTTGTGTGTGGTTTACTGCTCTTTTGTGAGTGTGCTTGCACATGTATGTGTAAGTGTGTGTGAGACTGAGAAGCTGGTTTGTAGGGGTGTGTACAGCCTCCGTTTAGCTGGCGTATATTTGGAAACAAGCTCACATTGTTTATCTGTGGAAGCTGAAATGCCACTGAGGAGGGTTTTACTGATTCTTCTGCTGATGCCACAGCAGAATGCTGCTTGTGTGAGAGTTCGGAAATACTTGCACTTAACTCTGCACCCTCCCAATAAATCAGCCTTTTTTTGACTGATTTATTTACTTCTGCAAGGGTTATTTTATTTGTTTTATTTGGTTTTATAAGGAAAAAATATGCAAACTATGGCTTTTTTAATTTGCCGTTTATATTTAAGTGTGCAAGTATTTTATCTTTGTTTCTGAAAAAGATCTGCTGTCTGGTACTGTCTGTCCTCCCCACTCCATTGTAACCACTGGCTTTTCCCAGTTGGTCACCATGGATGACCATTATGTCTCTGAAGGTCTGGTTTCTGTAATTTTATTGTGTTTTTGGTCAAGTGATCATGTGTGTCTATCATATTAATCATCCAAACATCTTTTCTGTCTGAATCTAGCTTCACCTGCACTCCCCTGATTGTCACCGTTTGTTTCAAATGAAACAACTACATTTTCTTTTCTCCTTACTCTAATTGGTTTGGAGATTTACCTGGGAATGACCATGTATGTATCAAAAATATAGATTTTTCTTTATAGATCTTTGGTCTAATTGAATCAAAATTGGGTTTCGCCTACACCTTTTACTGCTAAAAGGAGACAAAGAAAAAGAGTGACGGGGCAGTGAGCGAGCCTTCCATCGTGTGTCGTTTCTGTGTTTGTCACAAAGTTTTCATCACAGGCGTTCATGTGATTCTCCTCGCACCTCTCTTATCCCCTTCCCAGTGTCTGGTTAGATTGACCGTGATCACCCAAAAGCAGATCTTCTCCTCTGAAAATAAGGTTACTCATTTCTCCTCCTGTGGAATGTGTAATGCCCATGCACGGATGTCCTCTGTCATACATTACTTTGCCTGTCGTTACTACTTGTCTCCCGTCCTCCAAACTTGAATAAAGTGCCACAGAATGTCTCCGACCAGTTCTGTAAAACACTGCTTAGCCCTGGCTTGAGCATGACCTGAATGTTCGTGCATCTATTTTGGCATCAGTGTTTTTCCAACCAAAATCAAGATAATATGACATTTTAAAATGTAATCCCAGTGACAAAGTTAACATTCATGTAAACCCAGCAACTAAATGCTCCATGATGCTAAGCTAAACATTAACTCCTGAGACTGCAGCAGTTCCTTCAAAGCCAACCATGCATTGTGACTTACTTCCCTTCAGTTCCTCCTTTCCAAAATGGCACGCCCACCATAGGCATCAACATACACTAAACTGATCCTTCTCATGCTTTTATATAATCGGATTGCTTAAGAGAGAATACTTGGATATGGGCTCCTTGGTATGTAAAAACTCAAAGGGAAATTATTAGCCTAATATTTAACAAACTACAGATATAATTTTTATGTAAAGCCTCGGTTATGCTATCAGTTTTTCATTATTTACAACGAGAATACTTTAGGATAATGCCCCATTTAAAATGCATTTGAACAATATGTTGATGCCAGTTGTGGGAGTGGTCCATCACTTCATTTATATTTTTCGGCCTTTTGCTAGCCTTGTAATTTGTCTCACTGTTGCCTTTTAGGCCTTGGCAAGTATGAGTTTGAACACACAGCCCATTCTGAACCTGGAGAAGTTCCAGGAAGGCCAGGAGATAGCCTTGCTCCCACCTGGAAGAGATAAAGCTTCTCCCTCCTCCACGGAATTCAATCCTCTTATTTATGGCAACGATGTAGACTCTGTGGATGTTGCTACCAGGCAAGTGTTAATCATCTACATTAGTTAAATGTGTGGTCTTCACTGGAGGGGCCCTGAAATATATTTGGGCTTCATGTGTTAAATTATAGCTCCTTTTCTTCTTTTTTAAGGGTTGCCATGGTGCGATTCTTCAACTCGCCAAACGTTCTCCAGGGCTTCCAGATGCACACCCGTACTTTGCGTCTTTTTCCCCGACCAGTGGTTGCTTTTCAGTCATCCTCCTTTCTTGCCTCTCGACCGCGGCGCTCTGGCTTTGCAGATAAACTGTCTCACACCCAGGCAGTGGAGTTTTTTGGAGAGTGGGCTCTGAATCCCACTAATCTTGCCTTTCAGAGGATACATAACAGTAAGACTCCGTTAACATGCCAATGTTCTTTGTTGATATGAAGGTAGAGACTGTGATGTTGAATGAAACTTGTTTCCATTCTTTTAGATGTGTACGATCCATCTTTAATTGGAGATAAGCCCAAGTGGTATGCTCACCAACTACAACCAGTGGTCTACAGAGTCTATGATGGAAGCTCCCAGCTGGTTGAGGCCATGTCTAGCCCATTGGAAGATGAGGGCAATGAGTCCGATCCCACAGACAGGTGAGAAAAAATGATTTCATTCTCACACACGCACGCACGCACACACACACATACACACACCTCGATAAATAAATGCAGGAAGACTTTCAACTTTTGTACATTCAATATTTTTTTTGAAAGGATTAATATGCTTTGTTGCAGCGGTAGTGACAGTGAAGGGTATGATGACTCCAGCTCATCCTATTCATCACTTGGAGACCTGGTGAGTGAGATGATCCAAGGCGACATCCAGGGAGACACACCAAGTAAGTTTTGTTAGATCGGTTTTGGGCAAGTTAGTTACTAGTTACTTCAAAAAATTGAGTTAGTAATTGAGTTATAGTTGAATAGAATTGGCTAATTACCAGAAAACCTGTATCCCCTCTTAATAGAACTTACTACATATACTCTAAATTAGTACAATACTAACATTAATTACTAAAAAGACTTGAACATTCTAAAGTGTATGTCAGTTTACTTGAATCATTCTAATAAATTGGCACTTAACAGATAGAACTACAAACAGGAAACGTTACACTAACCTAAACTATTCAAATGTCTGTGGGATATGAAAAAAAAGACCCAAATCAAATAAAAATTCTAATTACAACTAGAATTATTTCTACATTGTTAACAGTAGAACAGAGAGACTGTTTCATTAGATTAAAATTGCTCTTAACTGAATGAAGCTCCAGGTCAGGTGTTGACCGCTTCAGTACACCTTGCTGCTGAATCGTAGTAATGCACCTGCACGACATTCTCTCATTAGTAACAGCGTTTGATTTTAGCTTACAGAAAATAACAATTCTTTTGGTGATTCAGTTTATTTAGGAGCTGTTATTCCCAGCGCTGTTAAAAATACACACTTACAGTATGCATGTATCCTCTCTTTGGTTAAAATTAAACATTGATGTCTTTAGGTTTAGATCCTCCTACCCACGCTGCACTGGGAGATGCCAGTGAGGCGTTTCAAGATGCAGAAGATCCAACCAGTGGAGATGGAGCTGTCGAAACTTCTGATGGACAAACTCTTCGCTCAAGCTCCAGCACAACTGCCAGCTCAAGTCCCAGCACAATCATCCAGGGTGTCAACCATGTGTGTGATTATTCAAATACTTCTAAAAATCAGATTCAGGTTTTACCACTAACATAAATATTCGTGTGTGTGTGTGTGTGTGTGTGTGTGTGTGTGTGTGTGCGTGTGTGTGTGTGTGTGTGTGCGTGTGCGTGTGTGTGCGTGCGTGTGTGTGTGTGTGCGTGCGTGCGTGCACAACTCAATCAATACATGTTTCTCTGGATAATGTCTCCAGGAGCAGGGTGAGGCACCTGAAATTGAGGCATCAGCAAGTGCAGCTTTACAGAACCCTGTCCCCGGACTGAGCAGTCAGCCGTTCCTCAGGCATGTCGCTGACACCGGTCTGGTTGATCCCGTCAACAAAAAGCAGGAGTATGACAACCCATACTTTGAACCTCAGTATGGCTTCCCATCTGAGGATGACCCTGAAGCAGAGGAGCAAGTGGAGTCATACACCCCTCGTTTCAACCAGAACCTCAATGGCAACAAGTGGGTTAACCTTGTATTTGAATGAGCTCCCTTGTGTTGTCATGAATGCGTGGTTGTGATGCTTTCTGGTCTGTGTGCTTGAATAGATCCCGTATTTTATGGTTTAGCTCTCATCTTTGTGAGGCACATTGATGTTACTGACCTTTTGCCTCTTTAGGGCACAGCGACCTTTACGTCCGAGCAGCCTGAGGCTTCTAGGAGAGTCGGATAGAGAGGGAGACTCACGCAACAGCTCTCCCAATTCCACCATCTCCAACAGCAGCAATGATGGATTTGGTGGACTCATGTCTTTTGCCAGTAAGGAGTAGAATTTTAACTATTTTAATCCAAATGTTTATCCAATTCCATATAAAATAAATGAATATCAACTGACTCAAACCCTGTGAAGAATTAATTAACATGATATAAATTTCAAAATGTCTGAACACAAAACCCAAACCCTACTATGCATTTTTTATGACTGTTTTGCCGCTTTCGTAAAATAACTAGCATCTATTTTCATGAAAAATAAATGTTCTTTTCTTGATTTTGTTTAGTTTAAGGCCTATTTTGGATTATAGAGCTCATCAGTACTCTCACTTACAGCCAGAACATTGAGTGCCTTTGCTAGAGCATTTATCTTTCATGGTAAATTGACTTGATAACTTTGCCCCTTATGCTGGGTCCACACTGGAGGCAGTAGTGGGGCAGGACAGTTTAGAGCCCTGCACTGAAGCCCTAGGCCCTCGGGTCGGCCCGGCCCGACGGCCCGAGGGCCGGGCTTCGGGCCAATGACTGTGTAATTACCTCGGACACGGGCCGGGCCGGGCGCCTTTATTTTTAATCGAAATCATTAAAAAATTAAAACACTTACACGCAGCAGTAGAGCCCTGCGCGGGACTGTTTTCTTCATCCCGCTCCGCTCCCGCTGAATTTCTGACCATTACAGCCTGCGTGTGTGTTACACTCCCGCCCGCACCCGCAGCGTGCATGTCTACTCCTGCCCGCAACTGCAAAACTCAGAGAAATTATTACCTCCTAATAAAAGAGATTTATTGAGTTTGCGTCCTCAACGTGTCATTTTATAGGTTATCCGCTTTCACCGCAGCGCTGCGCTCCGTTTCAATCAGGCTGTACAGCAGGATTTCCCCTCGTAGTGATATTTTCTCTAACTCTGATTGCTTCGTGCTATAGATCGTTGGAAAGCTGCTTTTATGTACGTTTAGGAACCGTTGGAATTATTTGAATCTGATCAGCCATTCAAAAGTTATAAAACGGAGCATTTTGGATGACAAACTTGCACGTCTCTGAATCTGTGTTGTGATTCGGTGCGCTCAAGACAGAGAATCCCGGTGGCTACCGTAATGTATTGTATATGCACGAAAAGCCCCATTTTTAATCTTTTCAGCACTTTTGGAATTTTAATGATATCTTGAACTAGAGCAGGGATCGGCAACCCGCGGCTCTTCCATCCATCTGATGCAGCTCTCTGTGCTTGTAAAATAATGAATGGATATTTAAATAAAATGCTTTATATTTTACTGAATTAATTTTATATCTGTAAGTCAATTCTATGTGAAGATTGTCTGCGTAAACCTGAACAGTTCCAACCCGGTCTTACTGTGAGACCGGGTTGGGTCACGCTTGTGCGTAATCGTATGCGCTCATGAGCTGAAGAGGATGTGAGATTCTGGGCTTCTCCTCAGACGGCTCCTGGATGTGTTGCACATTGGAGACAGGAACAAGCGCTATTCAGCCAAAGTTTCATAATCAGGGAACATTTTCTAAGTGACAAGTCTCTCTGAGCGACAGGGTTTGGAAAACACTTTCTTCAGTGGGAGGAAGCTTCCCGCATGCGCTTCTGCGACGCTCGGATCCTGCACATCTTTTAACACATTCAGGATTGACGCACTTTGTTTTCATTTAGTTGGTTTAAAAAAAAGTCGGGCTTGGGCTCGGGCCGGGCCAGAGAATCCTGAAAACCTTTTCGGGCCGGGCCGGGCTGGGGCTCCACCCCCTCGGGCCGGGCCGGACACAGGCTCAGATTTTAGGCCCGTGCAGGGCTCTAGGACAGTTTACTTGCATGCTTCGTGGCGTGTCAGTCCACACCGGAGGCATCTCTGCCGTCCTCCTCGCTGAACTTGCGAGATCACAAAGTCCTTCAAAGACTTTAAAGGTAACGGTTTGTTTTGGCCATCCACTATTAAATGAAAAAGAAGACCATGTCTGACATCATGGTTTGATGTCATGTATAATGTTGTGCCTCTCCATTGCCAGGATTAATGTTACTCTATAAACTAGAATGATACTTGGTTCAGAACTTCTCCTTTATTCTGCCCTGACATCATCCAACTCCCGCACAAAAAGGCCATTCCTCCGGAAGCAACCACACACTTTCAGAATAAAAGCATATATGCCAACAGGACATTTGCTTAACATAAAAGCATTATTAACATTAAAACCATGAAAAACACACCATTGCACTTATCAAAATTTACTGGGAGTAAATAAGCTGTAAGGTCACATGTATTGATCTAATTTACAAAGATAAGAAACTGCATCACTACAGTAGTCTTTTATTTTAAAAATTACCAGACATCCATAAATTTTCTTCCGCTTATCCGGAATCGGGTTGTGGGGGCAGCAGCCTAAGTCGAGAGGCCCAGACTTCCCTCTCCCCGGCCACTTGGGCCAGCTTTTCTGAGGGAGTCCGGAGACTTTCCCTGGCCATCTCAGAGACAGTCCCTCCAGCGTGTCCTGGGTCTTCCTTTGGGCCTCTTCCCGGTTGGACGTGCCCAGAAAACCTCACCAGGGAGGTGTCCAGGAAGCATTCCGACCAGATGTTCGAGCCACCTCAACTGGCTCTTCTCGATGTGGAGGAACAGTGGATCTACTCCGAGCCCCTCCCGGATGACCGAGCTTTTCGCCCCATCTCTAAGGGAGAGCCCAGCCACCCTGCAGACAAATCTCATTTCAGCCGCTTGTATCCGCGATCTCATTCTTTCAGTCACTACCTAAAAGCTCATGACCATAGGTGAGTGTAGGAATGGAGATCGACCGGTAAATTGAGAGCTTCGCCTTCTAGCTCAGCTGTCCACAACAGATTCTCATCCCAGCTGCTTCACACTCAGCTAACCGCTCCAGTGAAAGCTGTAGATCACTGTCTGATGAAGCCAACAGGACCACAACATCTTCAAAAAGCAAAGACGTGATCCTCAGGCCACCAAAACGAATGCCCTCACAAACTTGGTTGCACCTAGAAATCCTGTCCATAAAAGTTATGAGCCAGGTGTTTTACACTGAAACATTGTGTAATTTCCTTAGTAGCCCTATGTTAATTGCAGAAATTGACGTGTCCTAGATGCAACTCGCAGCAAAAATAGAACCCGATCCTTTCTTCAGTCATTTTGGGTCAACCCTATAGAGTATAATGAATTTCTCTTTGAAGCGGTGATGTTCCGCTGAAGTTCGGTGCTGCTGATGCCTCCAGTGTGGATCTGGCTTTACAACCCCACCTTATTTCCAATAATACAAAATAAACTTAAGCCTCTAACCAGTAAGCTAGCTGCTCCAGTCACGCCACTATTAATTAAGCTGAATTGAAAACGTTAGCAGGTGTCGCTCCTGTTCTTGAGATTCATAAAGATCACTGGGCTAATGTTCTACCCTAAACTTTGCACTCCGTTTGAGAGGTGTTTGGGGAATTTTTATGTTTCAGCGAGCCTTTTTGTCATGGCTGCTGGTAACTAGGGGTAACAGGAGTGGGGGTGGGGGCTGCCCTTTCCCTCCTCACTGATATGAGTGAATGCTTTAACGTGGCACTGCATGACCCACATCAGTGTAACTGATGTGGTGATGAAATCTAATTAGCATATCTTTTTTTATTTATTTTTTGCTGAGGCAAAAAAAGGTTTATTGGTTTTATTGTGAACAGTATAATAGGCCCGCCCCTCCTCTCACTTCAGGTAATCTTTACAAGAACCACGGGACCAGTTTCAGTTTGTCTAATCTCGCCCTTCCCAACAAGGCAGCCAGGGAGAAATCAACGCCATTCCCAAGTCTGAAAGGTAAATGAGCATATCTGTTTAACCACTCCTGGAGGATCTGCATGAGATCTTTTTGTTTGATCCATTATCTATGGTTGTTTTAGTTGTTGTTTTGTGTAAAGATAATTACAAGGCACTTAGATCATTACCCAGTAAAAATGTTATCAACGTTGATTATTGCAGCACAGTTTCCTGTTTGCATTTAATAATCGATTTCAAAAGTATTTGTACATCAATGTTTTCTAGATGTTCATAACCTAAATAAAACATCTGTTGTATGTAGGCAAATATATTTTAATCGGTTTGTTGTTTTTTCTTTTCTACTTTTTTATTCCTGCTTTTACTTGATGTTCTTGGGCAAAAGAATATTTTAATTTTGATGTAGAGGAAGAAATGGAGCAAGCAGGTTTGTAAAACCGTTTTGAAAGCTCGGCTTTCCTCTAGCCAAACATACATGGCACTATTTAGAGGAGAATATTGAGGATAAATCAAAGTTTTTCTCTCAAAAGTAAAAAAAAAAAAAATTAAAGAATAAATAAATCCACACCAGAACGGAGATCATATTTATTTTACTCTTTATATTTGAGAGGAGTAAATCACCCTCCTGCACATTCTTCTTAAAGTCACAGATCATTTTCTGAACTAAACCATAATTTCAGGATACTAAGTTAAGGGGGGGGGGGGTTAACTATGTTTAGGGTGGATTTTCACTTCAAATGAGAGAAAAAAGAAGCAGATGAAGCATGGTGAACTAACTCAATAGCTCTACTCCATGTGGAATAGCTGCCATTGAAAATGTTCTGCTCCTTTGATTCTTATGTGTTTTGTCTTTGTTGCTCAGATGTCCTCGACAGCCCCGGTATGTTATGTCTGGTGTGATACTTGCCCTGATTAGGTCTTCCAGTAACAAACACCCTGTTTCTCAGTGTAGGAGTAAGATGGAAGACACTTCGTCTACATCTCCCCCTTCCTCTTCCTGTTTGTGTGTGACTGTTGGAAACCTATTGAAACTCACATCTATAGTAGATGTTACTTCTGTAACCCTACTTTAGTTTGGCATCTGCACATCCTTGTTTCTACAAGAAGGATGCTAACTTATTTCTTGCCTGCACTTGCAGTATTAATGTAATGTTTCTGTCTGAGTGGTGTTTACTGACATTTCTGTTTTTAGTGAACAAACATGATTTCTCTCATGCCTCCTGATCCTTAAACGTTGTCCCTTGTTTCCTTGTTTTGATGATTTTTGTGGTGGATTATGTCAGACCTTTTTGAAAAACCCTCCATAGCTTTAAAAATATAAATAATTTAGAATGTCGTTGCTGTCTCATCTTTTTGTTATGTTCAGAACAAGCTATCTGACTGAAGATAGAAATGCATCCTGCTGTCTCCAAAGACCGTTTCTATGTTGAAATGTTCAGCATCGTTCACATCCAGTGTAACATACCAAGTGATCAAATTTTCACCAACAAATTGACCAGAAAATAACCTTTCATTTGCAGACATAAACCCACCATCTGATAATGTTGGAATTAGAGCTTTTCTCTCTTCCAGTTACACAAGCATAAACAAATAAGTGACAATAAGCACAAATAAACAAACAAATAAACACATTCACTCCCTTTTGAAGGTAGATGAAGTTGAAAGCAGACGCTTAGAAATGATACAGACTAGTTGTGTGATGAGTCAGCACCACGCTGTCTGATAAGGAGAGGAAAAGAGATGGCTGCTCCGTCTCACCTCACAGGACAAAAACCCAGAAAAAGAGAATTTTTACTTTAGAAATATGAACTAACACGAAGTGTTATGATATGAAAAGACTGGATAGGCTCACCATAAATGTGTAGTGTTGATGATTGACTACATATTTATTAAAATGACCAGTAAGATTTGATCATTTAAAGGCCCCATGTGTGAAATCCATTGAAACCATGATGAAAAAATGTGACTCTTTAGCGCAATGCAGTTCAGAGAAAGTATTGCAGCCACGGTGGCTCACTCATGAGTTTGACTGTATAATCAGTTTCCAACCTGTGTAGCCTAACCCACACGAAGCTTAAAACAAGCTACTCGACCTCTTTAAGAAAGCATTTTTAATTATGACTGTTTTATCAGCCTACCAGTTCTGACATAAGCAAGCTAGTTCTGTTCTTGAAGCTGCCACGATTCACACACTTAGGAGGGGTGACGTCAGCCGGGAGGTCAGGTGTTGTGAGAAATTTGTTCCCCTGAAACATTCTGTCCCCCCCCCACCCCCCCCCCCCCACCCCCCCCACCCCCGTATCGGAAGATCACACTTATGGCTATTTTCACAACATTTGTGATAAACTTTTAGGGCAAAATTACGTAATGTAATAATGTTATGCTTGCGATTTTTTTAATATGTTTCCTCAAAAAAACAATAAAAAAGATAGAGTAAAAACATTCTTGTTCACTCTTTTGCAGCAAGCTTATTTATCATTTTTGAAAGTTATGTAAAAAGATGTAATTTCACTCAGTTTAACCACCTTTTATTTGAGGTAGTTTAGTCCTCATAAGGGACAATAAGTTCTGTGGATTTGGAAATATTTGCTCTTGACTGCCTCAGGGAAACAGAATATTTCAGGGGAACATAATTTCCCGCAACACCCGTTTCACGTGGCTCATGGCTCACTCGATGTAAACAAACTGGCTGCAGCTACCAGCCTAAATGGATATGGAGCGATCACTGGCTGCTCGTTAGCCATGGCTGGTGATGGAGTGTTGGTGAGCTGGGGACATGCTGGAGATCAAGTAAACAGTGCTGACTTATCCACCAGCTAATCGTGGCTCACGGCTGGCGTGGTGGAGATGGGCATCACGAGCTACCGAGCTACTAGTTAGCGATGGCTAGAGCCAGGGAGACGCTGGGTATGCTGTGCTTAAACTCCCACGGATTACCAGCAAAAGGAGACCCAAACCTAAAGGTAACACTTGAGAAGAAGGCCCCTGAGTTGGAGCGTCTCAGTAACGCGTGGTGAACTACATCGCCGTTAGTAAAGTCTTGTGGAGATAAAGTAAACAATGCTGATTTAGCCACTGGCTAGTGGACAAGCGCTGGAGCGTGTTGTGAGAGACAGCAGGCTGCCGGAAGAGAGGAGAATTAAGTAGAAGGACTTTGGAACAGACACGGTGGGACCGGATCGGTAGTTCTAGTACTAGGAAAAGACGAACAACTTGAAGTGAGTTTGGGAGCCAGAGACACTAATCGACACTAATGATGAATATGAAGTGATTTAATGTGGTGTGTGGAATGTTGTAATGGAAGCTAGGTGGTTTAGCAGAACCTTTCTTAAGTATCTGAGAATTTGTGGTTTCTGGGTTGTAAAATAAATTTGGCTGTATGTTAAAACTACAGATTTGTTTATAAAACCATCCAATGCCAGTGTGCAGCCTAAGCAAGCAGAGTCAGTAGTAGAGTTGTGTTGCTGTTATCCAATCCGAGGCAAGATGTCCACATATCAGGAAATAAGACTCAGTGTTCTGCCACTCAGCTGACGCCATGCTGATACATGTGATTCTGGGCTTTGTCCCCTGAGAATAACAAGTCATTCATTCCCACTAGTGACAACTGCAAACGTCATGATTAAATGAGTTTTGAACACCTTCAATGTTACAATTAAACAATGTTTTAATGTAAAGCATTGAATTTGTTTAAAGTACTTGGGGTAAATGTTGTCTGAGTGCTTTTGATCAGGTAATACGGTGCTCAGGTTGCACCAGTGACAACCTGAGCCGCCAGTGCAAATGTGAAGTCTGGGGGGTGCTGGTCGGTCCTGGGCCGCCTATTGAGTACTGCTGCTCTAGATGGTCTGCTCTCTTGTGAATCTCAAGGATGCATTTAAAATTCAGACAGTTGTTTTTAACTGGATAAGTATTTATTGACTGACACATTATTGGTGGAACTCCTGGCCCTCAAAGACCAGCTTTAATGAGCTCCACTGGCATTAAAAGAGCACACCACCATTTTTCTGGAGCTCCTTTGTTGTTTCTGCTTGGAATCATAGCATGATAGAAGAATGTGAGGTATAAAAAAGGTCTTTTCTACACACTAATGCCCCTTTTTTAAATGACAGCTGTAGCTTGATGCACTGGTGTGGGTTATGCTTCTCTTGAGAGAATCGACTAAATAAACTGCTCACTATCCTAAATTAATGTCATTATTTATTCCAATATACTGACTTAAGTATTAAATCACCCCAATAATAGGTTTATTGCATTTACTGATAGTCATCCACTCACCTCTTTGTGGTGTCATGCATGGCGTTACTGATTTGGTAACAGCCATCATCCTCCCCTTGACCCGAACTTCTCTGTGCTGCTAATGTGTGAGGCTAACACAAAGAGCACCAATTACGCTCCTTCAGTGTGTGTGCGTGCGTGCGTGCGTGTGTGTGTGTGCGTGCGCACGCGCGAACACACCATGTCCCTGATTAATTTGTCCTTTATGTCTCTGGTTGTAATATTAGATTGTTGATGTTCTTGTAACTTGTCTGCTCAGTAGATCCCAGACCTGTGTGTTTTCTCTCTCCCCAAAGAGATGCTTTATGTGCCGTTTTCAGACTCATTCGATCCTAAAAGAGTTGTTCTGCCGTTCCAGTTCCTGGTGACCAAGTGTCCTTTCCTTTCAGTCTGCTCTTCTTCTCCTGAGTGTTCCTTTATCTTGTGAACTTTTTGGTTATGAAAATACATTTATATGAATGCAGATTGTATGGCTTGTTTATGTTCTGAAATATGATTTGGTTGTTCATCCAGGAGCACGAGCGCCTCGAGCACTTGTGGATCAGAAGTCTTCGGTGATTAAACACAGCCCGACGGTTAAGAGAGAGTCGCCTTCTCCTCAAGGCCGAGTCAACAACACGAGGTTGGATGCTTACTGTAGCGTGTTAATCTACATACTAGAATCAACACTGTTTGCTATCAGTTGTTAGATTCTGAGAGAAGACCCAAACGAGTTAACAATGAAGCTTCTATTATATATAAATATCTAGGATATTATATACTCGATAGAAGTTCATATGCCAACAAGCTTGGTCTAATTTTAATCCAAAGATTAATGTTTAATTTAAGATATTTAAATTTAATAGCAAAAGTTTATTTAATCAGAAGTTAAAGGAATCTTTGCTTTTCAATAACCAAGAATATTTTTATCATTCTGTGTTTTTCAAAGATGAGGCAGAGTGTAAATGTTAAGAATTTATTACTAATAATTTTAAACTTGACAATTTGGAACGACAATTAAAAATGACAATTCATGGATGACGATTTAAATGACAATTTACCAGCTTTGATATTAAACTTGGTATCAAAAGCTTTACCTGTGTCTGCATGGAAAGCTAAAATGAAATGAGAGCTTGGATGCGTGAATGGATTCTCAGAAGGTTTCTTTCAGAGAGAGGAACTCGTTCTGGGTGAATGCTTGTTTTGCAGCTAACTCGGTCGTTACTTAGAGAGAACAGCACCAGACACAATCTGTGTGGTACCTCACCCATTCAGACAACACTTGTGCGGATCCGGAGGTCAAGGGAGGATATTGTCAGCCTCCGGGTACTCGGTCCGGTAGCGAAGACTCGAGTAAAACCGACTCTCTGGTCCAAAGATGTCACAGGGTACACAGTGTTGAACGTCTGGCTCAACTCTGAAGGAGTTTCTCGTCTTAACTCTCAAAATCAATAACTCTGAAGGAGTTTTGCGTCAGCTGGTGACAGGTGTGTTTATTCGAAGCTATTCTATCGGCGTGACAGAACAGCAGGTAGAGGCTTCAGGGCGGCCGACCCTTATCCTCAGGATAGTGGTTGGTTCACAAACTGAAGTTACAGCTGCGGAAGATTTAGTTTTAACAAACCCACAGAACACGCCCTCTCAGAGCAAGAAAGCTTTGGTTATGGGAAAAAACATGTGAGAGCAGTTTAACTTTTACCCTGGATAAGCCCTCTGCGTTGGATGGATAAAGTGGAGGATGACCTTCTGGTTTACTGAACACACATAACCGATTATCACAATAATCATTATTATACCCAAAGCATAATAATTAATTTCAGTAATTAAAATACATTTATACTGAACCAAGAGATTATTTATGATGATTGTAATAACAGTAATAAAGTCAAAAGTTTATTAAAATTATTATTTAAAATTATTATTGTGATCTTGAAGTGTCCTTCAGCCTGGGACGGAACAGCAGCAGATGAAGATGATTTTCAGCAGACATCATGGCTCCTCGCTTGTTTAATCTGTGGGGCAAAGTTACAGTGAACCCAGCTTGACCCAGCTGGGAAAATGTGACCTTTGTCACAAATTGGAGGACCTTCGTGACGCTACATTACCGACGTCTTAATCTGTTTTAACTCCGTATTATTTGGGTGCAGTAGCTACACCTTTAGAGGAGTTCTAGTATGTGGTGTTTTCTTTTGATCCAGTGAGAACCAGCAGTTCCTAAAGGAAGTGGTCCAGAGCGTTCTGGATGGACAGGGAGTCGGCTGGCTTAACATGAAAAAGGTGCGACGTCTGTTGGAGAACGAGCAGCTCCGTGTCTTTGTGCTGAGTAAGCTGAACAGAGCCATCCAGTCTGAGGAAGATGCCCGACAGGAGATCATACGTGATGTGGTGAGATTGGTGAAATCAACTTTCAAATGTGCACCACCAGTTCTGCCTCTGTCCTCACTGCTTCTGCTCTCAGACTTCAGGATCAGATCATTCTCTTTTACGGTTACTGAAGACGGTTGCAGTGAAATCCATTCAAACAATCAAACTAGAGATGCACCGATATGAAAAACACACACACACACACACACCACAGCACATATTTCGGAGATGATCCATCACTGTCACATGACTAAACATCACCCACCTCACCTTTTTAAACAGATACAAAAATGGAAACAATATGAAAAAAAGTATCTGTTGTTAATATCGGCCCAGTTTTTCTTATCGGACCGATATTGATATGTTAAAAAGTGACTACCGTCGGCCGATAACTATATTGATGCCAATATATCGTGCATACCTAAATAAAACCCTTTTTTGAACAAAATATAAAATACTAGAATAAAATGGTTTTGCTGTGTTTTGTTTGCAGGAGGTGAACAGAAAGGTTTACAAAGGTATGCTGGACATCCTGAAGTGCACAGTTTCCAGTCTGGAGCACTCTTACACCAATGCAGGTCTTGGAGGCATGGCCAGTGTCTTCAGCTTACTGGAAATAGCACGCACCCATTATCAAACCAAAGGTATGTCCCAGAGGGTCGTTTAAAATTGATGTTAAAATGTGGGTTTTATAAAATTAGTCTGTTTTTAGGTTCTAAAACCAGCGAGGTGCTTGTGCTGCTAACACTTGTTCATCTCTTTCCATTGCATTTGTAATCAACTTTAAGCTGCATGTGACACTTTGACCCGCTAAAACATTTAACTAAAACTGTGAGCTGCTTTTGCTGAATGACCTGAATCCTCTATCCAGTTTAAATTTTCTCTCACTTTATTCTTCTGTTATTTTGATGACTCCCTGTCTTTGGCTCCCTGATTTTGGAAATCTGTTAGACCCGGAAAAGCGCAAGCGAAGCCCCACAGACAGTGCTGGCAGTCCGGGGAGTAAAGAGAGTCCTTCTGGTCGCATGGAGGTGCCCAGGCCTCAGGGCCTCCTGAATATTCCCCAACTTCAGCTGCCTCATCACACAACGGGCAAAGGAGCCCGCCATTTTGATACCCGGAGTCTGAACGAGGAGAACTTTATTGCCTCGATTGGTGTGTACACCACTCACGCCCGGTTGCATGTGCACTGTAAACCCCCCACCTGCCCCATACAAGCTCATCACCCCTAAACCCTGACCTTTCCAATCGTCTCAGTAAAAGATTACTTTTCTTGTCCCAGACAGATTCTTACAGGTGCAAGTATTCCACACACTTTGTCTAAAATACTACTAGAGAATTATCACTGTGCTTAAATTGGAACCAATCGGAGAAATTAATATTCATTCAAATTAAAATGTATGATTTGGTCTTGATGGAGGGATTTGGATTTGTTCCAAAGGGTGTATGGAATATGTCCCTGTCTTCCAGCCTGGACTGTGTGTGTGCCCGTGTCCCTTTCTTTTACCATCTGTGCAGCTGTTCTCCTCCACTGTGACGATCGGTTGGCCTCTTAGCACCTTGAATGCATGTCTTTGTTTTATTCCTTTAGTGTGTAAATCTGCAGTAGGGGACGAGGGAAACCGGATTTAAACGCATCAATAGTCAAATCGGTGTTCCTTTACTGCAGGTTTCTTCAAGGCGTGCTATAGAAAACACCTGCTCCCTTTGCTGTCAGCATGGAGGGTGGAAGCGTCACTCCCCAGTAAACAGCTCCAGTAAAGAGACTTCAGTCTCAGCAAAAGTTATATCAATTGGTCATTACAGAGCTGCCGAAAATAAATAAAATCGTCTTTACCATTTAATTTTCCAAAGCACATCCTGGGTCTGTTTATAGGGGACTGCTCTTAGTTCGACCACCCACTCCTCTTCTACCCTCAACCCTTCTCTACCTGTTAGAAGCTGCCCCTTCAATTCTACAGAATGCTGTGAGACTTGCATCCCAGCTTCGGCAACTGCTCCATTTCACTCGCTGGCTCAATGGCCTCTCAACCCCATCCCATGCTCATTTTCCTCAGTCAGCCACCTCTCTTTCTCACCTTTGCTCTGAAGAGCCAGACAAGTGGATGGATGGAACCAGGTGGCCTGTGCTCAGGGTTCTGGTGTGTGGCTCTCCAGGAGCTCCTGGTGTGTTGTAATGTTCCCAAGTAGCTCCTGCTCATGGCCGGTCCAACGCAGCTTTAGTCCAGCTACCTGCCAGCATTACAAAACACCACATCTTCACATGACAACATTATAATGCTCTTTTTGTTTTGATTTTTGATTTTAATGCTCACCCCCCATACATGCCTTTTCAACCAGCTCTCTGACTCTCTCTCTGTCTTTCTCTCCTTGCTTGCAATGCATCTTGGGTAGAATTGTGGAGCAAGCACCAGGATAAACAAAAAGCAATGGAAAAACAACAGAGTAAGATACTTTTCACACACCAAAAAAAGATCGGGGTGTTCAGCTGGTGAACTTTTCTCACCCCTTTACTTGCCCAACTCAACGATGACATCAGTCATGAAAACAAGATATTGATGATTAATATGATGGATTCCCCTTCCAGAAGGTGGATTCACATTGAGAGTAAAATACATTTTATTCATACTCAAGTATAAACTGCAATTAAAATTTAAAAACATTTATTGTTAGTTAAAAGTATGAAGGTGTTTTAGATAGCTGAGGCATGACAGCTGCAGTAGTTGGCTTCAGTTTTCCTTTACCTTTATATATTTTGCACAAAGAGTCAGACTTTGTTGGGATTTTTTTTTAATTTATTTTGTATTTTTGCTGCTTTGTTAAAAACATTTTTAGTCCAGTAACAACGTTTTCATATTTAAATCAATTAATTTCAAATCAGTTTATTTATATGGCACCGTCGTCTCAAGGCACTTCACAAGGTAAACACGTTCCAATTTAACCTACATATCAGTGCAGAGTTCAGTTTATTATTCTAGTTAGTTAAAAGTTTCCTATGTAATAAAACACAACAGATTACATCAAGTCACTGACTTGTGTCAAAGACTTTACAGTGGAGAGGAAAACTCTCCTTTTAACAGGAATAAACCTCAAGAGGATCCTGGATCGGTACAAGCAGCCATCCGCCACGACTCACTGGGGATCGAGAAGACGGAGCAGACACATGCATACATGCAGCACACACAGTAAAATTAGGATGCAGGATTCATTTTTGTCAGTGTTCAGTTAGCCTCCTGACCCTGACCACATGAGGCTTTCAGGCTTAAAACTCCTGAACTAAAGGTCTGGACCAGAGTTGTTGACAAATAACCAAAAACTTGTAAATGAGATCTGCAGACGCTTTTATCGACACGACTTGTCGATAAAAGTCAAATCAATAGAAAATATAAACTACAGCAAACTACAAGCTGAAAACTTCCACACGCTAGATGATGCGTCTCTCAGGTCCTGTTTGCATCACGGCTGGATTATTTTTACTGTTGGATGTAACAACAGAGTTTAAAAAGCAGCTCAGTTCCAAAGAAACATTCACAAACTGTTGATTAAAGCTGCAATGGCAAATCTGCAGAATGAGCTAGCTTTTAAAAACAAACACAGAACATTACTGAGTGGAGAACCTCTCACACCAGTGGTGTTCTGCGGCAGGATGCGCAAGAGCATCATGAATGGAGGACCCAGTTGAATGTGGATGAGCAGAAGTTTGATGAGACAAACAACCAGGTGGTCCAACCGTTGGTTTTGGGCCGAGCCGTGTTTTTAGCTGAGGTTTTTAGACAAAGGCAAGAGAACCACGTTGCTCATTTTTTCCCTTTTCTTTAATCTCAATATATTTATAGCAATACTATGTTAGAACGTTAACTCATTCACTGCCAGCCATTTCCTGATCAATAAAGCCCTTCGCTGCCAGTGTTTTCACTGTTTTTTTAAGAGTCACAGAATGTTGCGCTTTATGATTATGTCAATGCCCAAACAACCAAAACAAAGAATAGACTCACCTCTTACATGGGGAAGAATCCGCGCGCTTCGAGCGTTATCCGTTCTTTCATAATCCATTGTTGAATTGTGATCTGCAGAAGCTTTTCCGGTTCGTGCCTCAATTTTTTTACAGCAGCGGCCCAAAATGATCTCCTAACACGTAAATTTTCTGCTTCCTGATCACGTGATGTGTGACGTACGCGGATGAAGATCGGCTTTAGAGCTGGGATGCTTGTTCTCACAGTGCGGGGACTCGTTCCGACGCCCACACAGTAAAAGAAATGTAAATCACGACTTAAGTCATCAATGGCAATGAGTCAAGAGGCATGAAACAAAGCTAGCTTGTTAGCGGATTTGCCATTATAGCTTTAAGACAACTTTATTACAACATTACGATAAAATCTGGTTAAAAAGGTTAGCTCATTACTGTTACTTGACAGATACACACATCTTAGTTCAAATGAGGTTAAATGTATTTTAAACTAGTGTGGGTTGTACACAGATTTATACCTGTGAAAGTAAAGATGAGACGACTTCTTTCTTCTTATTATATTTCTGATGTCAAGTCAAACAACTTGTTTTGGGGTTTTTAATATAAAAAAACTATACATTTTCTGTAAGATTCACAAGTTTAAAGGTTCCATATCATGTTATTTTAAGTCTTTGAGAGCAATGGAAGGCACCGTGTATGATAAAATATTATCGTTGGCACTATTGAGGTGTCCTTTATATTAAATATGAGCAATTTTCATCATCCTGAATTTATACCCAGAAATAAAACACTTTGTTTCAGTGAAACTCCGCCCATGCTCTGACAAAACTTGCCTGCGACAGCGTCTTAAGTGAGCCAGTTGCTATATTGGTAATGGTAGTTCCATGGTTAAGGCATGGTCTGCTATCTCAGTTTTGCCATGTGCTAACGTGTGTTTGAATCCCGGTGGTGTCGGCAGTAAATCATTTAGCCATGTTTTTATATCTTAGATTTATTGATAATACCGTATTCTGCAAAAATATTTAGCGTCTCTAAAGATCTTTGAATGCGGTTGTGTCCAAGCAGCATTTTAGTTGATTTACTCTGCTTTCCTCACATGGACTCACACTAGCTAAATAAGCAAAGGAAGTAAAAAGCTGATTTGCCTTTATATTTTAAACATCTTAGGTGTGTTTTTGATGTGTCGCATCTCTAATTCCATGCTGTAGTTCTTTTTTAACAGTTTTAAATAGTTGATCAATAAAGGATTGAAAACATAATATTGGCACGTGTAGCTAAAAAGAACAAAAACTGCTTAGACCAGGATGTGAACTTGCACAAAACTATATGCCAGCCCAGCGCTCTAACCACTGAACTACCAAGTCTGCTACATGACACCAGTCGCCTAAGCCACGTATCGTGTGCTGGCCAGGGGAGACAGGTTTCAGACCAGAAACTAGCTTCCGGGAGAGGAGCAGGGCCTGATGACGAGACTAGTTTCCAATGATGCTTTACAAGATTTCCAAAGTCAAACAAAAAATGTTCAGCTGAAACGGGAAAATGCAGCCAAAATGTTTATTTGTTTTTGTTTTTTTTTTCATGAGGAATACCAATATCACATGATAAAAAGCTCCGAAAATGGGTTTTTCCATGATATGGCCCCTTTAAGCTCAAGTTAAATGTGATTATGTTTTACAGCGTTTTATTCTCCTTGCAACCATGCATCAAAGATGAGCAGAAATGAACTGCTGCTGTCCTGTCCTGCTCTTATAACTGTGCTCTTTTCCAGTTTCAAGTGACTTTGTGTACGTTTTGTTTTGGCAGCCAGCTGTCTATAATTGCTGATGCAATAAAAGCTTTACGAAACATTTTAGTTTAAATGTCACCAAAAGTGCGAACCAGATGGACGGATGTGTGTGTCGCCACACACCCACCTACGGGGATAACCGTCACACTTGAAACAGAAAATGTCTCCTTTACCGACCATCTGTCTGCATGCCTAACTGCCTGTGTCTGTTTGCTGTTTTTTGGTGTTAAACGAGCCACATTTGCAGCTCTGACTGAGATTTAATGTCACGCACTTGTTATTTTTTCATTTGTAATGTTTTCCCAGTTGTAATGTGTTATCACTCTTTCAGCTTTGCCTCCTTGGTTCTTTGATGTGTGAAGATGGCTTTTATTAATTTAAAAACCATATTATAAAATATATTTCTTCCTGCGTTTGAGTCATCTGCCTAACCGTAGTGGTTAGTGTGCTTTTCTATGCATACATGTTAAAGTGGCACTTCAGAATTATGTGGTGTCACAGTTTCTGTGCTGCCTTTGAGTGAGGTGGTTCTCTATATGGTAAGCAGGTCACGTGGTTCTCTGGAGAAGCAGAGGCTGATAACTGTGCTTTTTACAGGATCTGAAGGAACAAAGCAGCAGCGCCCCCAGGTGGCTGATGCAGAGGAGAAAAAATCACAGATCAGTGCTGACAGTGGTCTCAGTGTTGCATCTGGATCCCAGGTTTGTATGCCGAATGTTGGCCGCAGTCTGATGTCTGTGTTGAGATGTTACAAGCTGTAGACGTCCTTTTTAATTGCCCTTCTGATTTCTTCCTTTTAATAAATCTCCCTTTTAGAAGAGCGACACGGACTCTGTGACCAGCTCAGGACCACCGATCCTGACTAGAAGCACCAGCCAGGACTCGGAGGCCAGCACAGTGGTAGGGCACGGCCAAGTCACATGTCATGCACTGTTAGATGCACCATTTGCAGTTGCTGGGATACATTTACATCATATTTAACTTTTAAAAAGCATTCTCCATTTGAGAATAAAGAAGTAGCTTCATTTTTGCACCCCTTACAAATGAAACCTGTTATTGTGGAGTCATAATTGTGAAATGATCTAATAAGAATAATAAAGACACACATTGCTTCAGAAAATGTATCAGGTGTAAATGCTAAGCCAAAAATCTGGTGTAACAGGTGCATAATTACATGTTTTTAAACACGTAATTGTTGATTATCTGTGAAAATGAGTACTAAAGCGCCTACATGTCGAGCACAGCTGTGTTTGTGGTGTTCTTACTCTGAGCCGTATGATTGTAGATCAGCAACAGCTCCGGGGAGACTCTTGGAGCAGACAGTGATCTGAGCAGCACTGCAGGAGACGGCCTCGGAGGAAGAACTGCTCTACATTTGACCCAGTCCAGAGGGACGCTGTCTGACAGCGAGATTGAAACCAATCCGGCCACAAGCTCAGTGTTTGTGAGTAAACAAACCAGGAGATGTACTTCAGCTAATGGCTCATTCACAGTCATTTAAAAATGTTTATTATTGTACTTGATAGGATGTAAAAAAATGTTAATACAATAAAATATTTCCGTATTTTTTGTTTTTATACTGGATAGATGGTTACCAGCAGCTTATTACTTTTTGAATGAGAAACATTTACTATATTTCTTTGTGTGGTGCAATTCAAACTCCAACTGCTAGGTGGCAGCACTTGTTACCACTGTCATTCTTATGGAAAAACAAGATCTTGAGGTGACACTGGATGTGACTTTGAAGTGTCTGGCCTGAGTTTCCAGTTAAATTCAGTTATAAAAACTCCAAATATCATCTGGCTTTTAGGATCACCATACATCATATCGTGATTTATATCTGAACTCCAGATTCATGCCATACACACCACTGGTACGTGGTAACAAACACACCCAGCAATGGAGTTACAAATTTCTCTTCTGGAAGAAAAGCTTTATTATTCTGGGTGTGTGTGTGTGTGTGTGTGTATGCGTTCCAGTGTTTCATCTGCCAGTAAAATGACAAATGTCTTCTTATTGTTGGGTTTATAATGCTTCCTTCTACAGTTGTTCTACAGAGCACACATCACTGGTTACCCGTTAACTTTAGAGTTCATTTTAGAATCCTGATTATAACGTTCAATGTTCTACATGGTCAGGCTCCTCCCTATATTACTGAACTGTTAAAGCCTTATGCTCCAACCCGAGCCCTCAGGTCCACACACCAGAACCTTCTAGAAGTTCCAAAGACCAGATACAAAAGTTGTGGTGATCGCTCCTTCCAGACTGTTGCACCCGACTCAAGAATGAACTTCATTTTTCCTAACGTAGCATTGACAGTCTGGACACTTCAAAAACAGCTAAAGCTGCTTTTACTTGAATCTTTTATTTTCTTATTTTTAACTCAAATTTGTAATCATCTTTCATCTGTTTATGAAATATTATAATTTTATGACTTTATTTTTTCTGATGTTAATCTATTTCTGTTTTGAGATCATTATGATTTCATGACTTTGTTTTATTTTGTTTAGATCTATGTGAAGCACTTTGTGATTCTATGTCTGTGATAAGTGCTATAAAAATAAAATGTACTTACTTACTTACTTAATAGTTGTTATCAAACATCCCTTCCCTAAGCTATCCCAACCACATCAAACACAAGATGTTCTTTTAAACGATGACACAAACAACAGTAAATTATGTTAGCTAAAACTTAGTAAATTAGCTTTATTTAGATGTCAGTATTAAAAATAATGATTTGTACAAACGGTGTTCCTCGCTGGGACATTTCCACAATAACTTATAATTGATTAAACAGAAAAATGACTTAAAGTGATGAATCACACAAGCAGTTACGCTGATTAGTGGTGATTGTAGAACGAGTTTAATTGTAAATTTGACCTCGTTTTTTCTCTACAGGCAAAGACTCACACTCTGAAAGCAGGAGCAAAGGAGCAGGTGGCAGCCATGGTGAAAGGGCCCCCCGCACAGCCCATGGAGGACATCAGCATGAGGATTTATCTCTTTGAGGGGCTTCTGGGTAGGTGCTCGTGATGTCACTGCAGGCTATAGGAAACGTTCTGTGTGTTCCCGGAGCTGACTGTTCTGCTTTGCTTCACTAACGTTTATTCTGTTTGTGTTAAAAAGCTAAACAACCATCAGGATGCTTGTGTGCTTCCTTCCTGTCCTTGTGAATTTGACCCCCCCTTAACTGTTGCTGCTTACTCTGAGACAGGAGTTTTACAGCACAAACACAGCCTCCTTGTTCCTCTGTTTGAACAAGTTCCAACATAAAAGCTTTTACGTTGATTTGAGGTTTTGTCACCTCAGATCTCAGCAACAACATTATTCTTCTGCATGACAGTTTGAAAAAAATATAACTTTTATGCGAGATGTGGGTTACAGGCTGCAGTGAGTAAATGTTGATGCTTTCTGTAATAATTTTTGTTTTGTTCCTGTGATATGTGCCTGGGCTTGCTCTGCTCTTGTTTTTGTCCACTCACACCTCTTTGCCTAACCTCCCCTGCCCTGCTCTCGCTGCGTTTCTTCCCTTCTGCTGGTCTTCATGGGAAATTCCTCCAGGGCGGGATAAGAGCTCCGTCTGGGATCAGCTGGAAGATGCAGCCATGGAAACCTTTTCTCTAAGTAGGGCTGATCTCTTGCCTTCTGTGTGTGTGTGTGTGTGTGTGTGTGTGTGTGTGTGTGTGCGCGCGCGCGCATTTTCAGGCTCTTTGTTTAGTCGTTAATGTGATGTAAAAGATATTTTTAATGTGTCTATCTGTGTTTAATGTTGATGTTGAGCTATGACCCCCCTGCACACAGGTGTCTGAGTAAATGTCTCAGATGTGCATCATTTAAATATTATTATTTTTATTATTATTATTATTATTATTATTATTATTATTATTATTACTTATAAGTAGTTTTCTAGTTAGAAAACTAAACTAACATTTGTTCAAATGGAGGCGGTAACCCTTAAAACCTGTATTGCAGCCAGCCACTCTAGGGCACAATCTCTGTTACATTCTTTCGTCGCTATTTTACACGTTATTGTACGTTTGAATTACCTGGAAGCTGCTGATTCTTACATGATGTCATGAAGTAACCCACCACACACAGTCAGACACTCTGTGCTGAGAGACCAATCACCTGATCTGACGCAGATACGTTTCATCTCTGAGAAGCTTTGCTGTCACAGCTCCTGAGTGTGTGTCACCAGCAGGATCATTTCCTATTTTCTCTTCACTTAACCAATATTTGAAGCTGGCATTTCTCCTTTTGGAGAATCTCCTCTGAAAAATGGCACTGACCGGGGCGACCATTAGCATCAGCTCCATTCCGCCTGGACCGGGTTGGGAGTTTTCTCATTTATGCAGCCCTGGATTTTTCCCACGCACAACCAGACGTCTTTTCAGCCCTCTTCTCGAGGCGGTCTGCTTGGAGCCGAACAGGGCTGACACACTCACTGCCAGCTGATTGGCCAGCTCAACATCACACATACAATTAGGGGGAGCCTCCGATTGGCAGATAGAATCAGCCTGCAGGGGCTTCCTGCATGCTGATTCATTATCATTCTGGATGCTGTGGAGTTGACGAGCCTCTGACTGAAGCCGTTTTATTAACTGCTGTGAGGACACACACACACACACACGCACACACACACAGTGCTGTAAGACTGCTCAGGCCACTTTTGTGCAATAATGGAGACACCGCAGACTTCTCCGTGCTCTTTTGCCCCACCCATGTGCTCGGAAATGCGCTAATGACATCACAGACACTAGAACACCCATGGGCCCAGTCACGTCCGCATTCCTAAGGCAGTGTGGAACGAATGTGACCAGGCTTGAACGGGCGAGTGGAGTGGAGTGGAGCCAGTGCTAGTGTGTAAGTCTCACTTGTTTTTGTCATCGTCATCGTCTTCCTCCGCTTATCCGGGTCTGGGTCGCGGGGGCAGCATCCCAACTAGGGAGCTCCAGACCGTCCTCTCCCCGGCCACCACCACCAGCTCCTCCGGCAGGACCCCAAGGCGTTCCTGGACCAGATTGGAGATGTAACCTCTCCAACGTGTCCTGGGTCGACCCGGGGGCCTTCTGCCGGCAGGACATGCCCGAAACACCTCCCCAGGGAGGCGTCCAGGAGGCATCCTGACCAGATGCCCAAACCACCTCAACTGACTCCATTCGATCCGGAGGAGCAGCGGTTCTACTCCGAGTCCCGCCCGAATATCCGAGCTCCTCACCCTATCTCTAAGGCTGAGCCCGGCCACCCTACGGAGGAAACTCATTTTGGCCGCTTGTATTCGCGATCTTGTTCTTTCAGTCATTACCCAAAGCTCATGACCATAGGTGAGGATTGGGACGTAGATCGACCGGTAAATCGAGAGCCTGGCTTTCTGGCTCAGCTCCCTCTTCCCCACGACAGATCGGCTCTGTGTCCGCATCACTGCAGACGCCGAACCAATCCGCCTGTCGATCTCCCGATCTCCTGATCCCTCCTACCCTCACTCGTGAACAAGACCCTGAGATACTTAAACTCCTCCACTTGAGGTAGGACCTCTCTCCCGACCCAGAGTTGGCAAGCCACCCTTTTCCCGTCGAGAACCATGGTCTCAGATTTGGAGGTGCTGATTCTCATCCCAGCCGCTTCACACTCGGCCGTGAACCTACCCAGCAAGAGCTGAAGTTCAGAGCTGGATGACACTAGGAAGACCACATCATCTGCAAAAAGCAGAGACTAGATTCTCCTCCCACCAAACTCGACACACTCCACACCACGGCTGAGGAGGCTGAGGAGTGTGATCCCCCTATAGTTGGAACACACCCTCAGGTCACCCTTCTTAAAGATGGGGACCACCACCCCGGTCTGCCACTCCACAGGAACTGCCCCCAATGACCACGCAATGTTTGCAGAGACGTGTCAACCACGACAGCCTTATATTATCCATAGCCTTGGGATACCCAGGACGAATCTCCCAGGACGAATCTCATCCGCCCCCAGGGCTCCACCGCTGTGTAGTTGTTTGACTACCTCAGCAACTTCTGCCCCCAAGATTGGACAGTCCATCCCCAGGTCTCCTAACACACACAAAAAGCCAACCCCAGCCCTCCGCCTCTCACCCGGAGCAACTCCAGCAAAGGAGAGTGTCCAAACCCTCTGAAGGACTTGGGTTCAAGAGCCATTGCTATGTGTCGAGGTGAGTCCGACTATCTAGCCGGTACCGCTCAACCTCTGCCACAAGCTCCTGCTCATTCCCCGCCAGCGAGGTGACGTTCCATGTCCCAAAAACCAGTTTCCTTGTCTGGGGATCGGACCGCCAAGGCTCCTGCCTCGGACTACCACCCGATCCACACTGCACCGGACCCTTCATGTTCCTCCTGCGGGTGGTGGGTCCACAGTTGGATGAGCCCATGTATCCGGTTCGGACTGGGCCCGGCCGGGCCCCATGGGCGAAAGCCCGGCCACCAGGCGCTCGCTCACAGGCCCCAACCCCAGGCCTGGCTCCAGGGTGGGACCCTGGTAACCCTCCGGGCCGAGTACTCCGACTCTTTTTTTTACGTCCATGAAAGATCTTCTGAACCGTTGTTTGTCTCACCCTTCACCTAAGACCCATTTGTCATGGGAGACCCTACCAGGGGCACAAAGTGCCCCAGACAACATAGCTCCTAGGATCATTAGGGCACTCAAACTCCTCCACCACGATAAGGTGATGGTTCAAGGAGGACTTCACTTGTTTTTGTTTAGACTGAACTAGAGCTGGGGAGCCACAAACCCTTGTGTGTTTACATTCCCTTTACAGCACACGCTACAGTTATCCTCGTAGGTTATTGGGTTTGTAATGTCAAAGCAAACAAAATTAACTGGTAATCTGCTCATTCTGCAGCTGGTAGCATACATTTAGCTCAGTCCAAAAAACTTCATCATCAGAAATGAACTGAGCTGGGTCAAGGTGGTGAATTCTTCCAGATTTTATTGGCTTGTGATGCCTGAAAAATTATAAAATGTTACTAAAACAAAGCAGCATTTAGGCATGAGCTTTTGTGTGTTTATACAAAAGTGGGAAAAACGCATGATCCATGTGTTTTAGTTAGCAAACAAAATAAGCACATGTATCCTCTTCCCATATCCAGGTAAGGAGCGCTCCACTCTCTGGGACCAGCTGCAGTTCTGGGAGGATGCCTTCTTAGATGCTGTGATGTTGGAGCGTGAGGGCATGGGGATGGACCAGGGTCCTCAGGAGATGATTGAAAGGTTCAGATAGATCCGTTTCATTTTTTATATGAATCCTAAATCACTTTGATCTCTTCAGTGTATCTTTGTAATCCCTTCTAACTTTGTTATTTTTGTGTCAACACAGATACTTGTCACTGGGAGAGCATGATCGCAAGCGTCTGGAGGATGATGAAGACAGACTATTGGCCACCCTACTGCACAACATGATAGCGTACATGCTCATGATGAAAGTATGGAGGCCTGCTTGTTCTTACCTGTCTTTTTGCTTTCATATCCATAAACATTGCAAAACGTGGATGCTTTCGTTGGATTAGGTGACTAAAAATGACATCAGGAAGAAAGTGAGGCGCTTGATGGGCAAGTCTCACATTGGCCTCACGTACAGCCAAGAGATCAATGAGATACTGGACAAACTTCCCAACATGGTGAATAACAACCCTCTTTTTATTCACTTAGATCAACTTGTAAGTATTTTAAGGACCTTTTCTCATTTATATTTACAGAACGGTCGCGAGCTGGCCATCAGGCCCAGTGGAAGTCGCCACATAAAGAAGCAAACCTTTGTTGTTCATGCAGGCACTGACACAACTGGAGACATCTTCTTTATGGAGGTTGGTATACAGGTGCTGGCCAGTAAATTAGAATATCATCAAAAGGTTGAAAATATTTCAGTAATTCCATTCAAAACGTGAAACTTGTACATTATATTCATGCAATGCACACAGACCAATGTATTTCCAATGTTCATTACATTTAAATTTGATATTTATAGGTGACAACCAATGAAAACATCAAATCTGGTATCTCAGAAAATTTGAATATTCTAAAGGCCAATGAAAAAATGTTTGTTTCTCTAATGTTGGCCAACTGAAAAGAATGAACATGAAAAGAATGTGCATGTATAGCACTCAATACTTAGTCGGGGCTCCTTTTGCCTCAATAACTGCAGTAATGCGGCGTTGCATGGACTCGATCAGTCTGTGGCACTGCTCAGGTGTTATGAGAGCCCAGGTTGCTCTGATAGTCGTCTTCAGCTCCTCTGCATTGTTGGGTCTAGCGTATTGCATCCTCCGCTTCACAATACCCCATAGATTTTCTATGGGGTTAAGGTCAGGCGAGTTTGCTGGCCAATCAAGGACAGGGATACCATGGTCCTTGAACCAGGTGCTGGTGGTTTTGGCACTGTGTGCAGGTGCCAAGTCCTGTTGAAAGGTGAAGTCTGCATCCCCATAAAGTTGGTCAGCAGCAGGAAGCATGAAGTGCTCTAAAACTTCCTGGTAGACGGCTGCATTGACCCTGGACCTCAGGAAACAGAGTGGGCCAACACCGGCAGATGACATGGCACCCCACACCATCACTGACGGTGGAAACTTTACACTGGACCTCATGCAACGTGGATTCTGTGCTTCTCCGCTCTTCCTCCAGACTCTGGGTCCTTGATTTCCAAAGGAAATGCAGAACTTGCTTTCATCAGAAAACATAACTTTGGACCACTCAGCATCAGTCCAGTCCTTTTTGTCCTTGGCCCAGGCGAGACGCTTCTTGCGCTGTTTCTTGTTCAAGAGTGGCTTGACACACGGAATGCGACACCTGAATCCCATGTCTTTCATGAGTCTCCTCGTGGTGGTTCTTGAAGCGCTGACTCCAGCTGCAGTCCACTCTTTGTGGATCTCCCCCACATTTTTGAATGGGTTTGTCGTCACAATTCTCTGCAGGGTGCGGTTATCCCTAGAGCTTGTACACTTTTTTCTACCACATTTTTTCCGTCCCTTCGCCTGTCTGTTAATGTGCTTGGACACAGAGCTCTGCGAACAGCCAGCTTCTTTAGCAATCACCTTTTGTGTCTTGCCCTCCTTGTGCAAGGTGTCAATGATTGTCTTTTGGACAGCTGTTAAGTCAGAAGTCTTCCCCATGATTGTGGTGCCTTCAAAACAAGACTGAGGGACCTTTTAAAGGCCTTTGCAGGTGTTTTGAGTAAATCAGCTGATTAGAGTGGCAGCAGGTGTCTTCTATATTCAGCCTTTTCAGAATATTCTAATTTTTTGAGATACCAAATTTGGAGTTTTCATTAGTTGTCACTTATGAATATCAAATTTAAATGTAATGAACATTGGAAATACATTGGTCTGTGTGCATTGCATGAATATAATGTACAAGTTTCACGTTTTGAATGGAATTACTGAAATATTTTCAACCTTTTGATGATATTCTAATTTACTGGCCAGCACCTGTAGTACTGTAGTGAAATAGAGTGATGTAACGATCTAGAGTTGTATTTTAAAGTGCATGTCAAGTGTGCCTCAGAGTCTTACCCCACCCACGTATCAATTTTAAAAACTGCAACATTAGTAGGCGTTGCCTGGAGGACCGAGAGGGCGGAGCCGCGGCAGTGACGAAAACGACGGCTAACTAGACGAAGCTAGCTCCATTCACTCTGAGCAGTCATTAGAAGTGGAGGACGTTTCTCCCCCTCCTTACCCAGACACTCGAGAAGAAAGGGACCAAGTCTAATTGGAGGAGACAAGCGGACATTTGCCTTATTGTTTTGAGCTTGTGAGTTGCCTGAAATTACCGGAACCGACCCAACAGAACCATCTCTGAATGTAAGTAGCCGTTAGCCATAGCATTGGATTAGCTGCAGTGTTTGGCTCCACGGCCCTAGAGAGCTAGTATTCAGCATGTTTTAGAGATTTATCTGCATCAACACACCTGGTTTTAATCAGCAACAAACAGCTGAGCTGCTTAACAGCTTATCTAACCTGTTAAAGTAGGAAAATCCACTGAAACGTGCTGGATAGCAGGTCTCCAGGAGATCTGGGCTCAAGCTACAGTCTGCTGCATAAAGTTATGAAAATATCCCATGAGAAAATTATTCTGTAATGTGTTCAGCCCACTAAAACTGCCCTGATTTCATTATTTATTTACTGATACTAGCTGCTCTTGGTTGCAGGTGATCCTCTGGTGTCTGCAGCTGGTCTCCTGCTGGTGTCTTCAGGATCAGGAGCTTCCAGAAGAATGTGCCTTTCAATGACTCTTTCCACCTTATTTGTTATATTAATTAAATAAATCTCAATTTATATATTTCCTGTTTTTGTTCATGTCCATAAATACTTAAACATGCTTGAAATTAAAACGAGCTTTTAACAGTGAGGTGCTAGTTTAGTTCATCACAATAGAGCTAGATAAACATGCGACAATGTGATAATTCAATTAATGTAATTTATAAATATCCATTAAAATATCAAAACTGGAATCAAAATGAGATATTTGGCAGCACAAAAAACTTGTCAAACACAATATTTATTATAATAATTGTAGGCAGACAGGAGACAGAGCTGATGGAGGTTCTCAGTCATCGAAGGATGGCTGAAGGCTTTCCAGGAACAGGAGATGTGGTGTTGTCTCTTCTCTCTATTCTGCCAGATGAGCTGATAGGTTACAGGTGTGTGAGGACATCCTCATGCTGTCACAACCAGATGACAGGAGTTATCAGGTGATCAGCCAGGCTAATGATGAGATGCAGAAAGAAAACAAATCCAGGACAGTGTACAGTAATAAAAATAATATGTGGTGTTGCTCACCTTATGTGCTCTTATAGAGTTATTAACGTGTGCCTGCCTCATGGTGTAGAGTCCATATTTTGCTGAGTCTCCTGCAGTAATGCAGGTTATTAGTTAATTTACGTTTGATAGCAAAAACAAAATATTTAATTTAAAAGTTGTTTTCCAGGTGAATCAGCTCACACGTCACCACCAAGTGTCACAGGGCCAGAATCAGTAGCCTCCTTCATGATGTAATCACATACTTATTTAATTGTTAATATCTTAAAAATTCAGAAATGTTTTAATTTTTTTACCTTGAACAGTTCACTGAGCTTGTACTGTCACTGAGGTGGAAGCTGGAATCAACAGCAGACACCTCACATCTTGGTCTTTTCAGGAGGTGTGGATGCTCTGGGACCTTCTGGAAGATGAATTTCTGTCATGGTCCCTGTGTCACAAGACACTGAGGCTGTGAGCTCTGTAAAAAACAAAGAAGCAGCACATTTATAAATGTTTAAAAGAGCATAAAATCACTTGTAACAATCTGTAAAACAAATGAAAACTAGAAGGTAATAAAATGTTTACATAGAAGATTATTAAAAATAATTCACCTTTGCTACGGGCAAGGCTTCACGTCAGCCTGGACAAGTGCATTCTTGCAGATTACTAAATCAGTCTGACAGCCAGTGTCTTGGGTAGATTTAGCCTGAAAAAAATAGAAGCACATTGATGTTTATAAAGTCAGATAAAATACAAAAGAAACTGTCCCATATAGGCGCTTTATAACATTCCTAGTGTGTGATGTTATTATAACGTAAAAGTCAGTCACATATGATGTGGAGATCCTGAAATGCGACCTCCTGAACAGAATTCCTCACGGAACCGGGTCACGCTGTGCTAGATTTCACGCTGTAATGCTGTCTGTCAACTAGTGCTGCGTCAGTTTAGAGTCACTGTTGCAGAATTACCGACTGACACAAAAACAACCCGAATTTTCTCTGAGCCTGACAGTCATGTGGACCGTTTTGTCGGCCAGGCCTTCGAGATATGTTCCGATTCGCCACTGATTCTAACCTTACATCCCGTTCCACATTTTGTGAACTTGACAAATCAGCCCGAAGGCAGTGCAGGCTGATATTAGCTAAATGGAGTGAACCACGTCTCTCAAACTTTGCATTTAGGAAGGGAATTGTCTTTAGAAGATGTTAAAACTTTTATTTAGCTTACTCACCTCAGACTGGAGCCCGTCATGGTGGGGGAGCAGAGTTGGTGGGCTGTATCTAAATCGCGGAAGAGCCACGGTGGGCACAGCCTCCCTCTTGGAACGGAAACGTGCAGAATCGCGGGTAAAATGCTGGTTGCAAACTACAGCACCAGGCGGGAGCTGAATGTTTTCCAGACACGCAACCACTGGCGCCTAATTTCTAAGTCCAGCGGAAAGGAGTGCAACCCGACAGAGCTCCGCAACCATACTACACTACACCATCTCACCATACCAACACGATATGGAGCACTAAACCCGAACTACTTTCCTAATTACACTAACAGCCAAACACTAACTAAACTACAATATCCAACAGCCAAGCTAACACTAAATAAGTATGTATAACACTAAAAACTATGCTAAAGACTAGGATATGCTAATGCTATATGCTAATGCTGAACTACTGCTAGCCTCCTACACTCGCTTGCAAATCCAACTCCCAACTCGCCACAAGGCGTGGCCGAGACTCCCGATGCTTTTATAACGTTGACACAGAGCTGCTACGTAGTACTCTACTGGTTTACGTAGTATCTTACTCTTTAGCCATTGGCTAAAATTTATTCAAAATGAGTCAAATTCTATGTTTTAAGCTGAAGGTGGAGCTATACTGTGGTTTTTAGGCAGAATTTTTAATTTTTAAAGAAAATGCACCAAAATGCTAAAATAATGAATACACACATTTAAAACACTATTAGACACTCATTTATACAGTTCATCAGCAAAAAAAAGTTAATTTAGACGTTACTTGCTCTTTAATATACTGTAAGTAGATCACTTGTTATAATCAGAAGAATAGGTTGTTTTTATCATCAGGGAGTTCATTTAACACTCTGTATTGACCTTTAGACAAGAAAAGAGAGAGTTGGGATCGTTTAAATTTTTTTTTAATAAATTCTACAATCTATCAGGACTAACTCTGTGTTGTTTGGAAATGAATGTGATGTTCGATGTGTGTGTGCGTGCGTGCGTGCGTGCGTGCGGTCGGTCGGTCGGTCGGTCCGTCCGTCCGTCGGTCCGTCGGTCCGTCCACCTGTCCACCTGTCCACCTTAGGCTGACGTCATTGAATCATCATTGATGAGAAATGTAGCTCCAAGCCTAGCTTCAGCAGTTTCATCTTTCCTCTTCCTGTTTGCAGGTTTGCGATGACTGCATAGTCCTGCGCAGCAACATCGGTACTGTTTATGAGCGCTGGTGGTATGAGAAGCTCATTAACATGACTTACTGCCCCAAGACTAAGGTGCTGTGTCTGTGGAGACGTAACGGCCAGGAGACGCAGCTCAATAAGTTCTATACCAAAAAGGTCAGAGCTGTGCGCCCTGCGCTTTTTCTTTACCTGCTCAGGAAATCAGATACGAGATGAAATGGCTCTCCTCTCCATTCTAGTGTCGTGAACTCTACTACTGTGTTAAGGACAGCATGGAAAGGGCTGCAGCAAGACAGCAAAGTATTAAACCAGGTAGAGACTTAGTTTAAATAATTTAGCTCCTCGGGAGCCACGGTTTGGGAATCACTGGTTTAAGAGAATAAGAAGGGAATAAAAAACCCAAATCTACACCTGGTGGTTAAACTTTCTCGTGCTACGGCTTAGGTCCAGAGCTGGGTGGAGAGTTCCCGGTCCAGGACATGAAGACGGGGGAAGGCGGCCTTCTTCAGGTGACACTGGAAGGAATCAACCTCAAATTCATGCACAGCCAGGTAAGAGCGTCCAACCTGCCTCTCATCTCACATAAGAGCATGAGAACCAACCAGTCACTTATGAGGATTCACTCCATCCTGTCCACCTCTCTGCTCGTCTCTCCCGTTTGCCTCTGTGGCGTTTTTTTTTTCATCATGTGGCGTCTTCCTCTATTGCCATCAAAATGCCCATTAAACGGTTACAGTGTAGCTGATTGGCTGTTACTCATCTCATGTGACATTTTTCTTTAGAGGAAGATTCTCTGTTTGTGCTTTAGCTTTCTTTTTTTAGATTTGCTTCTTTTTGGTTTTATGTTTTTATTTGTGTTTGCATGTCTGTCCTGAACAACACTAACACATTCTGCTGCTCACGTTTCTTTTCACATCTGTGGTGCTCAGACCTCATGTTCATGTACCGTGTTGGAGGAAATGAGGTCTCTGTGTGTGTGTGTGTGTGTGTGTGTGTGTGTGTGTGTGTGTGTGTGTGTGTGTGTGTGTGTGTGTGTGTGTGTGTGTGTGTGTGTGTGTGTGTGTGTGTATTGTGTGTGTATTGTGTGTATTGTGTGACAGTAGTCAGACAGGTGAACTAAGCAAAGACTTTTCATTAATAATTGACTTCATAATAGCAGCTTTTGATTTGAGTTTGGACCCTTGAACATCGTCATGTTTTGTCTTTACACCTGTGAAGGTAGTGATGGTTTGAGTCGGGCTCATTATGATGGAAAACAGGTCATTGTGTAATAAACCTGACAGAGCTGGGCAACATGGTTCCAGTTAGACATTTATTCCAAGAAAATCATTTGATTTAATCACATGTTTTGCTTTACAGTTTACATGTGTGATCTTTTAGTTGTGGATTTGTATCGAGAATATTTTTGTTGAGCCTTTGTTTACATTGTAGGGGCATGAGAGTGAGAAACGCGGTGCGACTTGACAGCTGGCACATACTGTGGTCTCTCCTGACGTGGAAACAAAATATTTCCGATAGGGATGCACAGAATAGCAGCATCAATATCGGCCGATGTTAGTCATTATTTTAACGTATCGTATCTGTCCGGTGAAAAACAACTGGGTCGATATTAAAAACCGATATTTCTTCCATCTAGTTTCCATTTGTTTATCTGTTTCAGAGGGGGAAGGGGGTGTTGTGTATTTGTTTGGTCATGTGACAGTGATTGTAATCGTCTCAGAAGAGTAAATGTGTGTGTTGTGTGTACATAACATAAATTCAGCTTTAATCATTTTCATTCTAGACAAAATCTGCTGATTTTAGAAGCATTAATGTCAGTATTATCGATTTCGGCAAATATCGGTTATCGGCCTTAACTGTGAAATCAATATCGGCATCGGCCCAAAAATTTCAAATCGGTGCATCACAAATTTCCTAAATTAAAAGAACATTTAGGTCATTCTGACATTCTTCTTAAACGTTATAATTAATCGCCATTTAACCCGTTTAAATAGCTCTCTGAATGGTCTATGTTCAGAGAAGTAGAGTTTACATTCTGCAGGACCGATGAGCTAGTGGCTAGTAAGAGTATAGCTGTCATTCTGTATCACAGTATTGTTTTCTTTCCCAGCTGGTATATGCACACATGTAAATAACACAAAGTCCTGTAAAACAACGTAATTTGAGCTTGACTGTAGGGCTGCGACAAATTATTATTTGGATCACCGATGAATCGGATGGGGTCTCGACTTCATTAATCAATTAATTGGATTAAACTGTAAAATTTTAAAATAGCTAGGGAAACCTTTTTTCTTTCTCTCCTTCCTTGTATTTCATTTACATGTTCAGTAGTAAGCTACTGGAAAAGCTAACAGCATTTAATTTCTACTGCTAAAAAGGTGACATATTTATTATGTACGGGTTAGCAATAATCTAATTTAAATTACCGAAATTTCCGGACTATAGAGCGCACCTCAATATAAGCCGCACCTACTAAGTTAAAAAAAAAACATGGAACTGTACTTCTATAAGCCGCACCGGGCTAACAGCCGCAGATGTCTATAGACTAGAGGTGGGAAAAATGATTGATTCTAAGATGCATTGCGATTCAGCCGTGCATGATTCCGCATCGATGCAGCAACGTGACATAATGAGATTCTCTCCCTATGTCTATGTCGGGGGTCAGCAACCGCAGCTCTGGAGCCGCATGCAGCTCTTCCATCCATCTGATGCGGCTCTCTGTGCTTGTAAAATAATGACTGGATATTTAAATAAAATGCTTTATATTTTACTGCATTAATTTTACATCTGTAAGCCAATTCTAAATGTAAAGATTGTCTGCGTAAATCTGAACAGTTCCAACCCGGTCTTACTGTGAGACCGGGTAGACGCGTCACGCTTGTGCGTAATCATAGGCGCTTCCTGAGCTGAAGAGGATGTGAGATTCTGGGATTCTCCTCAGACGGCTCCTGGATGTGTCGCCACAATGGAGACAGGAACAAGCACTATTCAGCCAAAGTTTCATAATCAGGGAGCATTTTCTAAGTGACAAGTCTCGCTTCAGTCGGAGGAATCTTCCCGCATGCTCCCTGGTTCTGCGACGTGCTCCAAGCCCCTCTCCACATCTTCAGCTCACTGTGCGCCGTACGTACGCGCTGACAGCGAGTTTCGCTGAGCTCAGTGTCCAGCTCAGATGGGAATCTTTTCTTAAGTGATTTAACTACATCTGCGCGAAACGAATAAAGTTTCAGTTCGTCTGCATGCGTCGGGGTCTTTCTATTCTTTCTCCGTCAAGATAAATAGTCAAAAACGGGAACTATCCGGTCAACACAACACAAGCCCTGCTTTTAACTGTTCTGTTTTCTTGTGAAAATAGATATAATTAAACTTGATTAACACCAGAGCCAGGCGCACTGCGCCGTTATCTCCGTCACTGTAAATGAGGGAAAAACAAATTGATCGGATCCTTTTCTGACCTCCCCCACCTACAAAGTTTAATTACAACAATCAAACGTGACAGAGCCTGGATTTGTATTCTGAACAGTCTAAACATGTTTTAAAAAGAAACGTATGACAAAAGTGGCACCTGTTCAGTAAAACCACCAACAGGGTGAAAAATATCTAAATATTGTAGGCAGAGACGGGCTACAACTTCTGGATCCACTTTATATAAATCGTTTTATTGATTATCTTCTTATGACAGATAACTTTGACGTACACGAGCGACCGGTACCGGCTGCTGTCTGATGGTAGGCCCTGCCCACAACGCCGCGGCTGCTGCGGTGTTTTCTTTACTGTGGGAAATGGGTAATAATGGCTCTTTGATGGGAACAGGTTGCCGACCCCTGGTCTATGTCTATGCGAGGACAATAACATTTTGAGGTTTTATAATTACTTCTGGGGCCTGAGTTGCAATGACATGCGCACTGCGTTGTCCTAGAAGCAATTGGACAGGGATGCAGGGCCAACATTACCAGTAATCAAAGATGTACCCGTTACATTTAAATCGGATGTTTGGGCTAATTTCGGTTTTGGGATCCTGGATGTGAAAGGATCACTTAACACAGTATTTGTTTACCATTTTTAAGTTCAGTAGTATTCTATCTTAAAGCTGCTCTACCAAAAACATTATTTCTTGAATTATTTAAGTAATTATAGGCAGCACACTTTAAACATTATTGCTCACTATAGTGAATAGATGAATGTTCTGTTTTTCAGGGATTTCGAAATCAAAAAGAAATTGAAAACTATTCTACTGCTTTTATTAAGTAATGAAAATTTTTGTGTGAAGAATCGTGATGCATTTCAGACTCAAATCGAATTGTTAGGCAGATAATCGGAATCAGATCGAATCGTGAGGCAGGTAGAGATGCACACCACTACTATAGACCCTTTTACTACCTACGTCATCAAAAGTTGCGCGCGCAGCCTGGCAACGAGAGTGAAGGCTTCCTCATTCACACTCAATACTAAAACAGCGTTTTAAACCTTTTGTTTTGAAGTTCTGAGCACATAAAAATGTCGGGCTGTTGCGTGTATGGATGCCAGAATCGCTTCTCTTCAAGCAGTGGACTGAAACTTTACAGAATTCCGAAGGGAGCATATCCATTTCAACAAAATCGGAGGCGTCTGTGGCTGCAGGCCATTAAAAGGGTTGATGAAAACTGGACTGAAAACACGATCCGAAATGCTCGAGTTTGTAGCGCCCATTTTATATCAGGTAAGGTAATTATATACTAAGATTACACCAGAAAGCTGGTTCACCTGTGTTCTATTAAATAAAGTAAGTTGCGTTTGCTGGTTTGCTTTTAAGCAGTCTATTTATTTACAGGCGAGGTTTTCTGTTTTTCCCATCCTAACACAAAGCTCAACTCTGAATAAAATTGCTGCTGCGTGGCTGCAGCATGACCCAAGTCTGGAACATCAAAATTACAGAATTAAACAAATTTATACGCTTTATTTCATGCTTCAAATTAACATTTCATTCTAATTCATCTGTATTTTCCCACTGCATATTAGTATAAACTGTATTTCTCTAAAATTAACACGATTGTACTCTGAGCACGCTAAAAAAAGAAACCTATGCTATACTCACCCTGCCATGCAGGTACAGTTGGCTGTGAAGACGTAGTTCTCTGGTTTGTTTACTATGACCCAAGCCTCGTACATAGCAGTCTTGTGTCCTTGTCTTTGGCTAGGAAGGACTTCTGCCTTCAAGACGCAAAACTCAGAGTCTATGTCGTGATATTTTACTTTCTGTACGTGGCCACAGACAACATAGTTGTATGCATCTAACGATTTGTATGCTCGTAGCGTCTCACGTGTGTACTTACTGGGCCACTCCACTAAAAACGTATATATATCGGGCCACTGGACATCTGGCCACGCAACTACATCTTCCACCCATTCCGTAATGCCACAGGGTTCCAGGAGTCTGTTGCCATTCGTTAAAGTGAGTTTAATAATATAACATTCAAGATTTGCCGGTGATAACCCCGCAGCGTAGCTTTATAAAGCCTGACACAACGCCATTCTCTGTTGCCAAGCTGCGCGCCCATTCTCGCTGACGTCATATTATTTACAAACAGTAAAAGGGTCTATTGAATTGAAAACGTAGTTTAATTGAACATAGCTGAACTGATCATTATCAGACAAAACAGAAAAGTTATTGATTAGTTTATTCATCATCCTCCTGCGCACTGAAACCACTGAAGTCATCTTCTTCAGTGTCGGAGTTGAACTGCCTCAGAAGAGCTTCGTCACATACCTTTTCTGTGGCGATGTCAGTGTCGCTGTCTTGTTGCTGTCATCATCCCGGGGTGAAGCTTTTCCTTCACCTGCCAGGGGCGCTTCAGCAGAAAGTGAAACGGGTGGAAGGCAAAAGTGGAAATCGAAGAAGGTGCTCTGATTATTAGCTGGTTTACTTTTCTATGCATCTCTGATTTGTTTATTCATTCATGAAACAAATGGTTGAAATCTGATTAATCCTCATGTACATGATGCAGTAACTGTAAATAGACAGAAATAATCAGCTTGCATCTTAAATTCAGTGTAAAATTTAGTGTAATTTGTTTTCCTTTTATTGTTAAAGTAATGTTAATTTGCTTTTCTCCTGTATGAATTATAACCAAGGTGAAACAATCCTTAATGCTGAATGTTTCTGCAAATAATTATTGTTTGAACTTCTGTTTTCCTTTGCTTTAAAAGGTGCATTGTTTTTTTATTTCAGGCATTTATTTTGAAACTGTGCACCATATCAGAAAGACTAGAAGACCTCAATAATAGTAGTCGTAGTAGTAGTAGTAATAATAATAATAATAATAATAATAATAATAATAATAAACTGGAAAAAATCAAGCTAAGAAGGTTTTTAATTAAGGAAATCTAATTATTTTTTTGTTTATTTTAATTAAAATGTTGCTGGACCAAAAAAGAAAACCAAACATAGAAATATTTATAAAAGCTTTATTAAAGTCTGGACCTGATCTCATTGTTGTTGGCCCCATGGGAGTGGATCAGCAAGGTGTAATCCAGAGGAACAACAGAGGGGTGCAGGCAAGAGGCTGTGGTCTGCAATAAAAGTCCTGTTGTCGTGAAGGGGTCAGAGGTCTGTGGATAATCTAGAACAGGGAGAGGTAAGGTGGGGAAGTTTGAGGAGCAGAACGAGATCGTTAATGTGAAGACAGGTATTGGAAGAACGCTGGACATCTACTGACAAGGCTTTCAATAATGCAGTGGAGACTTGCGGGCTGGGAGGGACTAATATATCTGGAGGAGCAGGTGAGGCATAATCATGATTGGGGTGAGCAGGTTTGTGAGAAGAAACTAATGAGGACCAGGCTGTGATGGTCATGGAGATGGAGGCGGGCGAGCTGGGTCGTGACAGTGCGTTAGGATGTTCCTGATGAGCGACTCATCAAGGGTGTCCCTGGCCATGGAACCCTCCTCAGGTACTGCAGCCCTCTGTCCCAGAGTCTGGATTTTAGATGGTGGAGGACATTGCCCACCCCCTACAGTCCAGAAAAATGCATCACTGCTGAGTTGATCAGACAGGGCAGGGGCCAATGAATCTGTGACCCATCTTCCTGCTGTTCATCCTCAGCGGGACATCCCGCATGGGCAGCTACACCTTTTGCCTGGCCCCACCCACAGGAGCCCCAGTCTGGCTGTGATTTACCTAGCGTGTAGATGGCAGAGGTGGCACGAAGGCAACTCCTGGCTGACCTCCAGGCACACTGGCAGTGCAGCGCTGCTGCATGGGCCCTGGGGACTCATTCATGTTCCTGAACGGAGAACACTGGTGGCTGGTACCCATAGACAGCATAGAAGGGAGAGATGTCAGTTGTGCTGGACGGGAGGAAATTCATGACATGCTCAACTCGGGGCAGGTTCTAAGCCCACATGGTGGCATCATCTTTGCACAGCAATCTCCTGGTTCATCTTTCCTGTTTGTCCGTTATTCTTCAAATGAAAGCTTGAGGACAGACTCACCTGGATCTCCAGCAGACTGCAGAACTCCCTTCAGACAAGAGAAACAAACTAAAGGCCTTGATCTAAGATGATGTCCGGAGCAGACCATGAAGACAGAACGCCTCTCGGACCCGGACCGCAGCCAAAATCCTGACAGTGGGATCTTTTCCAGCAGGACCATGTGAACCAGAAGAGATTCCTAATGTTGAGAATGACCTTATGACCTGGAGGTGGGGAGGGCGGTGATGAAATCCATGCTGACATGAGACCAGCAGGGGTGTGCAGTCATTCCTTGGTGTCTTTGGTCAGGGTGGGCCACCAGAACTTGCTCCAAACGACCATCAGTACAGGGTCTTGCTGTATACTGGATGAGAAAACTGACCAGAATTTTCTTGTCGCTTTCTTTCTGTGGGTGTGAGGTAATAGATTGCTGAGACTTTGTCTGAATCCATAGAAATCTGATTTGGGTAGGTGATGAAGCCCAAAAGGAAAGGGATAAACAGTGGAAGTTACATTTTTCTGCTTTAACAAACAGGTAGTTTTGCAGGAGCCCTAGAATGGCTGGACGTGCTTAAACAAAGCATATGGACTTTGCTGGCTGGGCAGACGCGTTGGCGCATGCTCTGTGTGATTTGGGTCGTGGCGGTGCTTCAGCACCTTCTCGAAGGACGAGTAGAATTTCAAACACGTTTGATTTTTTTTCCCTATTGCTGATTGGGAGCTAGTCATCAGGTTTTTATCGCCTCTCGTAACCCCCTGAATACTACACAAAGCACAACACAAAAGATTGTTGCACAAGTGGCAAATTGTCTCAAAATGGTCGGAAAATCTTGTGGTGTTCTCCGGACCTAATGTGGCTCATTCCAGCGTTTCAGGCATGACATCATAAGTCCCAGAAGGATTTCCTGTTTATTAGTGGCTGCCCTCATTTATCTGTTCTGCTGCGTGAGCGCATGGCGTTGGTGCCAGCCCTTGTTGCTGGAGGAGGAGGCATGGAGGGCTCTGGGGGATTGAGATGTCTAAAACCAAGCTGGATTCATTTCTCAAACCTCTAGTCCTCTCTTTTTTTCTTCTGTTTGTTAGATTCTTTTTTTTTTTTGGGACAGAATCAACTTTTTGATGGATTTTTCATTATTGGCTCTGTTAACTTCTCAGCTAGACTCTTGATCAGAATCTTTACGAATCTCCCGTGGATGGCATCCTCTTGGAGTGTCGTTGAGTGTTTGTGCCCTTTTGTCCGATAATAATCCAAACCATTTCTCTCCCATGCTCTCTCCCCCTGCAAGGAGCGGAAGGTACACAACCTCTGCTGTGTTTGCTTATTAGAGTTACATCTTCTTGGGTTTCCTTTTCTTTCTCTGTTTTTCTTTCTTTTACTGTCGTAGCTGTATGGCAAATCTAATTTATTTAATTCTTTGTCTTTGTCTTCATTTTGTGTGGAACTTCCATGTATCCATCATATGGGCCATATTGCATCTCTTGAGTATAAAAATGCTTATCTTTTAGAAATGACCACAACTTTCAGCTACATTTCTCCATTAAATCCGACTGTTTTTGATCCGTGTTGAGATTAGAGCCGACTAAATGCATTTCTGCACATTGCCCATTTATGCGTTTGGTCATGGAAACTTCTCATAGTGTGTTTTCTTTTCTTTTCTTAGCTGCCAAAGCTTGCATTCCACGTCTAGCTGTTTTTCTTTATTCTTTAACCTTTCATCAGACTAAATGAAATGTATCGAACATTGGTAATTTCTTTTAAAAACTAAGAACTCTTCATTCGGTCTTGTTTAGTTAATAATGTTCTGTCTTGTTTTGTTTGTTTTTGTTTGTTTTTAGGTTTTCATAGAGCTGAGTCACATTAAAAAGTGCAATACAGTGAAGGGAGTCTTTGTCCTGGAGGAATTTGGTAATTACACCATCTATTGATTCTAGGCCTGTACTCGGCACGGCAGTAACTCAGCTTCATGGCTAATTTATCGACGAGAGCTTATAGAGGGTCACTAAATTGGATAGTTTGCTGCAGGAAGTCAGAGCCTTTGATGTGTGCAGGGGGTGAAGGATGAAGTTTTCTGCTACTCAGTGGCTTCCATTACACTTGATTTAGCTGATGAGGAAGATAGAAGGCCAAGCGGAGGACTCCTAAACAGATCATGGCTTTGATCATCTATTAGGGGGACAGATAAAAAGTTTTAAAAACTAAGTTAAAGGTTGAATATGGAAAAATTAATGAAGAAGTTATATATTTTTAAAATCATACCTCCAGAGTATAGAGGTGTGCAGAATGAAGGTAAAGTATTTCCTTTAAAAGCTATGTTTTAATTTTAAAATATTCAACTATTTATTTTGACAGGCACAACACTGGGTTGATGTTTACATCTCCCAGCCTTTAGGGGGCACCATTACGTAAAAAAGTCTACCCAAAATGGAAGACTCAACAAGTCAAGCAGCTGTTTCTGAGCCCAGAAGATGTTCTAACGCTAAATACTGTTGTAAAGTAAATGTACCCTGTACAGTTCGCCACTGGACATGGTGCTGGCTGGTCACTTCACGTATCGGCAGTGAATCAACACCCCGACAGCTGGAAACCTTGTTCTATTGTTGCATTTGCATCCTCCACACACTAGATGTTGCTATGGTGTCCATGTTCCGTATTCAACCTTTAAATATTTAATCATGATCATTTCCTTGTTCCTGTAGATAAAAATATTTTAAAACATCGTGTTTATGCTAATGTTGACATATTTAAATCCTAAGGTCGTTATATTTAACTGAACGGTCAGTGTTAATGATCAGATCTATGATCTTTACTGTAGGATCTGCTGCAGGACGTAATCCAGATCAACGTGTTTCCATCCATGTCCTCAGCTGTTTAAAGCTCGTTTTTATTATTTAAAAGCCATAAAAATAGTGTGTAATCAGTTTTAATCATTTACAAAGTCAAAATGATAATGGCTTAGTCAGATGTGAAATGTGCTCTCGCCCGGCTGTAAAACTGTAATTATCATCAGACTTGAGGCACAACTCGATCTATAATGAATTAAGTGCAAGTTAAGATTATTTCAAGTATTTCTCTTGAATTTTTACATTAGCAAGTGAACGTAAGTATTTCTCAGAAACAGAGTTTTTCTCTGGTTTGCTGATTTAAGAGAATGTGTAAAGGTGAAGCTGAGGCCTTTGGAGGGTGAGTGGAGGTGATGGTAGCAGTAGAGCAGAGAGAAGGAGGAGCCTGGGCCAGGGCCTGGCTGGGTCACTGCCGTGCCTCTGTGCTGCTTTTGTAATGTTGCTCCTCATCTTTGCCACTATGAAAACCTTCATTCTCCAGCAGGTAAAGTGTCGTCACCTTTCTTCTTCTTCAAACTAAAAGCGTGCCACTTATTTCCTCATCCCATTACAGCATCATCGGCTTATTCATTTTCCTCCTCTGTACCAAGTCTCCCTCTGCTTCTGTCATCACATCACTCCTCATGTGCTCATCCTCCTCTGTCTGTGCTTTTATTTCTTTAACGGGGTTGAGCAGAGGGACTTAACATCTCCCTGCCCTGAACATCTGTCCAGATGTCAGCCTCTTCATCTCTGCTATGGGTTCACAGTTACTAATGAAAAGTCAGACAGGATCCTAGCTCCTCTCAGCTGCTCCACAGGAGTTAGAGAGCGGAGGGTGTCCTTTACTTTGGTTTTCCTGCTTGTTGTTTTAATTGATCAGTCCTACAACCTTTGCAGTTTGTTGTTGGGACACTTGGGTTTAATGGGCCACGAAAGCGTTGCCTTTTTTCCTTCATGACCTCTGACTAACCTCTAATCTGACCTGCACAAACAGTCACTGTGTTGGGTGACTTAAACATAAACAATTTGGCCTGAAGTCGGCCACCAGTCTTTCCTTTGGTCTTGTGAAACTCGGAGGTTTGCTGTTCGACCGCTGTCTTTCTTGGCCCACTTTTCATTTTGCACCTCGTTGAAAGTTCCACCCTGTAAACTCCCCAAAGCTCTCTGACATGAACTCATCACGGTTCCTGCTGCCTTTGAATTCTTTGTTTTGTCTCTTACATCGACATAGTTCCTCAAACTAAAGAAGTGGTGATCCACAAGTACAAGACGCCCATGGTGAGTCCTGTCAGCTCTTATCTTTGGTTTGATACCTTTGGGCTCCGTTATGGTGGAGGATGTTTTAACTCTGCTGGGGGTATCTGTGGTGGATCGGTGACACGTTAGGACTGCTCACAAACACAGGACCTAATGTAACCTTTACTCTCTCCTGTCTTACTGGTGTAAAATAAACACCTAGCTGCAAACTTGCCACTTTTAGGAGCACGCACAGCGCTGTAACTACTGCTGCGTTAACGTCTCACAGCTGTTGGAGCTTTTTCTAATCGAATACCAACACTAAATAACACGGGCATCTATCAAGGGCCTTATCAGATTTGTCTCCTTTACAGCTGTTTCCAGAGACTCGTGTTTTTTTTTCTAGTTGAGTTTGTTCGAAATGTTTGGAGTTGCCATAAACACCAGCAGTACCCTGTTAAAAGCTAACGTTAGCAACATAAATCCAAAAGGGTTCAAATGAAGGCAATTGGACTTCTTTGGTTTCTTGAAGACATTTATCTTCTCCTCCGAGGAGCTTTAATCCCGACCGGAATACGGGAGTGTGAAGGTTATAAGCTGTATTGTTGCTTAACCCCTCCTCCCGACCCCTGATGAGGTAGTTTCTGCTCGTGAAGCTTGTTAAACGACAATAGACAACTACAGCTAATAAGCTTGACCGTCCCAGAAGTCCAGTTGCTTTCATTCAAACCCATTTGGATTGCCATGACCCGGATGACCGAGGACCTTCACCAGCATAGCATCATTAATATTTTTGCTGGTAAGAGTTGGCCAGCAGTGTGCTACAGCCTTACTAAATTAAGACACAGCTATTCTCCAGAAGGATTTGATCAGCGTTAAAATGACTGAATGATCTAATGCACATCACACTGGGTCCTTTGTGTCATTCTAATTAACCCCATAATGCATCAAACTGATCCACCTCGTTCACCAGAAAGCGATCATCCCATCCACTTTGCCTCTGCAAGCAAATGCGTCTGTTTTCCCTCTCAGACTACTTCAGCGTGCTGATTTACATAATACAATCACATTTGTCACCTTTTGCACATGCTGAGTTTGCAGGTACGTAAACAGTCTAGAAGAACTTTTTATTACACATGAGAACCTTTCCTGTTCCTGCTCTGACCTTCTAGTGCAGCAGTAACTGCAACTATGCGTTTCATGCATGGCCCACTTTGTTTCCTTTAGAATTTAGTTGCAATAAAAATCTGAATTCACCGTTCAGTAAATGGTGACGATGATCCATCCTGGTTCAGGTCCAGTGAAAACTGTCCAGACCTTGTCGATTCACCGCTTCTTCTGCTGGAAAGTAGTTTATGTTTTGCCCGTGTAACTCGTTTTCCCAGCAGCCTCCAGGCCTGTGCGTGTGACCTTACAGAGGATCATTGATTCGGTCTGACAGTGAACCGGTGAAAAGTTGCCTCTTACAGGATTTTTTTTAACCAGAACTCTGGAGTTCTGACTGCAACTAATAAAACACTAAAAAATGACTCGTTAGGGTTCAGTAGGAATCTCCAGGTTCAAATTTTGCAGTTTAGAAAGTAAACACCAGGAAATCTGACCAGGTCATGTTCACATCGTTCTGCAGTTATGGTGTTTTATCTTTTTTATTTTCTAAGTGAACTCAGGAGCCTGCTCACACACGTGCCAGTGTCTAAGTCTGTTTTTGTTTCCTCTGCAGGCACATCAGATCTGTTACTCAGTCCTGTGTCTCTTCTCATACATGGCAGCAGTGAAAGGGAAGGAGGGAGAAGGAAAACCCAAGATGCTGTCCCCGAGACCCCTTCCTAGCTAGACAACACCTTGTGCTTTTATCCCCACCTTCTAGCTCCTTGGTGTGCCTCTACTTGAAATGGGGTCTCGGACTTATGACAATCCCAAAACTAAATCTAAGCACACGGCCCTCTCCTCATGTGTAGATGGAAGCTTTTTTGATCCGACTGTGTGGACATGTTTGGTGTGTGATGTGTAAATACCTCCAACCCTTCATCCCTGATGTTCCTCATCCTCTGTGTGAAGGTCTCCTATCCATCCTACAGTTTTGGTCCATGTGAGGGATTAGTCCAAGTCAGAGTGCATGCAGGTCCCATGCACAGCCTTGACTCTCACTGCAGTGACCCCTCCCCCCTCTGCTTGTGTTCTGTGATGATGTGCTTACTGTAAAGTTTCAGTCTGTTCAGAGAGCCTCACAGTGCAGGGCGTCCCGTCTGCACCAGAGCACAGCATGTGAACTCCTCGTGGTGGTGTGTGGTCCTAAAACTCCCCGTCCCCTCGCCCCAGTCTGAATTACTGTTCTAGCTCTTCTGGTATTAACTGCATGTTATTATAAGGACCAAGAATAAATATTATATATATATTTCTATATATAGTATTTATTTAATATATATGTATATTGACTGTACATTTCTCAGAAAATGTTACAAAATGTTGATTTGCTAGATGTGCAATACTTAAGAAGTAGTTAGCCATTGCCAGAGCCGGGGGCCCTCCACTTATCTGGCTGTCACAGGGTGAAGAATGTATGGTTTTTTTCTTGTTTTCTCAGAGGTGTGTATTTACTGAATATTTAGTGTGACTTGACTGTTCAGTGTCCTCCATAAGTAACCATCGGTCAGTCACAGGGCAGGAAGTCGATGATGGAGAAAACTAACTCATATCAGCTCTGGAGGGCTTTCAGAGACACAAACGGGACGTTTTCCGTCTAAAGACGGTTCTCGTGTTTCATCACATGCGTCACAGATGTGATTGAGCTGCTTCCGGTTCCTCGTGTGTAGTTTAACACTTGCTGCATCTAAATATCCCGAGTTTGTAAGTTAACAGAAGCTCTTATGTCTTCCTGTTCAGAACCAATCTGACAGTAGTTCCAATTACAAAAGGTGATAAAAACAAAAACATGAGCTGATTGTGGCTGGAAATCCCTTTTAGAGAAGCACACTAGCCTCCAGAACTAACTTTAGTCTTGAGTTTATCTGAGTGACTCTGTAGAAAGCAATAGTTCAGTTCCTGAAACCTGGTCTGATGAGTTTAAGAAACATTCTCACTTTGCAGCCTAAAAAAAAATAAACATGCAGATTTTATGCAACTTTTTAGCTAAAGCTACAGAAGTGAAACTCAGCAGATTTCTGTCCTGTGATAGACCCTTCAGATGTGTTGAAGCTCACAGATGTAGTCCACCAGGAGATCGTCTGGTCTTTGTTAAATGATGGTAAAGAGTAGTTAAACCAGTGCAACCATAGGTTCATCTCAGTGTGTGTGTGTGTGTATGAGTGCTCATGTGGTGGACCGTTTCTTCTGATCAGCAATATGCTACAGCTATATCACTGGAAGAGGTTTTATTTTCATCCTGACTTGCTTGTATTTTTAGTAACTTTACTGTGCAAATGAGAAAATTCCAAAATAAAATGGACTAAACGATGTTTGAAGACTAAAGTCCATCTGAAGCATGTCCAAGACTGACCTGTGAATTTTCTGCTAAAGCTAAAAAAAGATTTTTGTTTCTTTAAACTGGAAAACACCACCTGATCTGTAGTTGTGCTGGCGAGAGGGGAAGAGCTGTAAGGACTCATGGATTTGGAAGAAAACCATTTATAGAAAATGTACAGCTTTGGCAATATAATAAAGATGTCCCAAATGAGGCTCTGCTAGTCGTTTTCTTTTTAGCCAATAAAATGATTGGAGTTCACATCGTAGCCAATCCTAAAGAACAACCTCTGCTTTGTAGCTACCTGCTGAGCACACGGATGGTTGCTGATGCTGATCTCAACACACCCAGCAGCTTCACGACACCTCTGACATGTGGATGTTTATCTCTTCATGGACGATCTATAGCTCATTTCCTGGCTGCCATCTGAAACATTCACCTCTAGTGGACCATTTCTGTAAAACAAACCTCACACCCAGACTTGTTTCAGCAGTTTAATGCTTCAGCCTCGTTCAGCTATTTCAAGATGCCAAAACCTTTTAAGAGGCATTGCATGCTGGTAGATTTCTGTGGTACACCGTAAAGAACACTTTTTACATGTTTGTTTCTGGTAAAACAACTCATTCCCGTGTCTCAACACTTGCAGATAAAAACCAAAACCATCAGTTTGGACTGATGTGAACGAGCCGGGGCGCTGACAGATATGCTGCTGAAGGCTAAACAAAACAAGGCAGGTCAAGAACATGGGATCAACCGGAGGTAGTGGTTCTGTAGCAGGTAGAGGAGAAAGGGTCTGTCAGAGCTTCATGTGCTCTTTAGAGCACACTGATGTAGTGTCACTGGTAGACTAAATAACTTTAAAAAGTACCAACCGCCGAATGTATTTATAGAATTCATGGGTTCAGAAATGCCGACAGGGTCTGATGAATGTAAAAAGCTGGACAGTGACATTTCATCCTCCAGTGCTTAGCCCAACCCTAACATGAAAACGTAAGGCTGTCCACGTCCTCAGAGCACAAATCACCACGGAGAATAAATGGAGAACATGGTGGAGTGCCTATGAGGATGTTTTAAATAGAACTTTATTTAGGTTTATAATTGGAAAAAACGCTTTAAATTTTCAAAACATGGTTGTTTTTTTTTCTTTTTTAATCTTTGCATTGTTTTGTTGCATGTTAAACCTCGGATTTGTACCAATAAACCATAAATCATTCTGTGTATTATCAAAAATATAATTTGGGGTTATTTACATTGTGAGATGCTAAATGTAAACGACAGTGACCTGCCGTCTGGTACGTCGGTGTGTTTCAGCGTTTTAAGACTAAGATGCCACGTCAGAGGCTGTAAGGCTAGCCGCTCAGACACGCGGCTCACACGTCGTCCTGGACAGTCCTGCGAAGAACCCGGAGACGAGACATGACTTCATCCCAGTCCAGGTAGGCTCCTTCAAGGTGGCGCAGTCTGTCTGGTCGGCTGACGTAGCGCCTCCTTCCGTGCAACAGACGCCAGTTGTCAAAGGTCACGATGTCACCTGAAATCAAATGATCCAGATTAGATTAGAGGTGTGTTGTTGATCTGATTCTGCTGCTTAAACCTGAAAGGTGATGCTAACACGGCTTTAGACTTTGTGAAATTCTGGAATTGGACAAAGACGTAGGAGGAGCCAGAGTGGATCAGACTGACTGTTCCTCCTCATCCTCGGATCTTCGTCGTTTTAACTCCAAGAGGAAGCCTGGAATGGCGCTGCAGAATCTACTGACATCCTCCTGCTGCTCTTTGATGTTCTGAACTTTTCCTTCAGTCTCGTTCATTCATCTTAGTCACTGGGTGACGCAGAAGATTTGGCTGGACAGAGATTTATTCCAGGAACTTCAGACTTTAACTTGATTTGTTTGACAGCAACATCCAAAGTCATGGTGACTAATGATGATGCAGATGATGTTGAACGTCGCTCTAACAGTAAATCCTTTTCTACCAACATCCTGCACATCCTGAATGAGGAAAAGAAGAGCTGGAGCACTCAGATGAGTATGAATACCTTTAATAGGTGCAAACAAACAAAACTTAACATGTTGACACCTTATGTGTTTTTGTCCGAAGATGCATAAGTTGCGCCTTTTGAAGCTCCAGCACTTCTTTTCCTCATTCTGGATGTCCTCCAGCTGTAGAGCACCAACCTGAGTGGATGCCGCGCAGAGAGCTTTATCTTCTATCCTGCACGTCTCTTTTGTTCTTTGTTTGTTTTCCATCATCTCCACCATGATAAATGATATCTTTGCACAAAGGAAGAACTGACCTGGCTCCATTGTATAGTGAACCCCGTTCTCTGGTCTGTTCATGATGTCCACAAAGACCTTCAGAGCTCTGTAGAAGCACTGGACCTGGTGCAGGGGGAGGTCCAGAACCGCATCTCTGGTGGCGTTGTTGTAATTTATCCTGGTGACTCGGCCCTCAGAATCCACACTGCTCAGATAGAACACAGGTGATGTTCGACCGCTAAAGAATAAATGATGTCAACATTTACATGAAATTCAATTCTCCACATGAGTACACGTATTTAGGCGTATTAAGGGCTCATGAGACTAATTATTATGATTGTACTGTCTAATAATTCCTGTTCAGTTATAATTAATGTGTTTAATTATCTGATTTACAAGCCATCAAATGTTTTGGGTTTAAGCGTGCACAGAGATGAGTGATTATTGTCAGATGTGACAGCTGCGCATCTGGTTGAAGAGTGCACGTCTGATTTTGGAGGTCAAGTGGAGTTATAATATTCCTGAACAGCAGATGGCAGTGTCTCCATTTCAAATCCTCCCCATGAAGTCCCAGTGGTGAGGCGTTTCTGTGCCTCAGCAGGGTCTGAACCAAAGCTCCATATGTGTCCGTGTCTCCGTGTCTCTGTGTGTGTGTCCGTGTGTGTGTGTGTGTGTAAAGATTGCCCTGACAGACCATCAACACTCACTCAATGATGCGGTTCTTGGACTGCAGCATGAAGTCACAGTAGTCTGTTCCGGTGTCGGTGAAGTCCACGTACAGCGAGGTGAGCGTTCTGAACGCCTCTGGGTCTTCTCTCTGCAGCTGCTCGGCCACGTGGAAGCCGTCCACCACCTCACTCTCTCCTCCCTTCACAGCCTGGTTGATGCAATGCAGAAATTGCACCTAAAACATGTGCAGCACAAACGCTGCCGTTAAAACTCTGATGTCATTAGGACCCAGGGCCAACCGTGACTCATTAGTCATTCCATCTGTTTAATAACAGGATGCATCGGGTAGGACTGGACTCACTCCAGGTGGGAAGTGTAAAGCGGGGTAGTCGGTGTGCAGGCTGAGCTTCCCGGACGTGTAGGCCACATTGTTGGCCATGGGTTTGTCCTGGACCTGCCATGTATGCCTGAGGACAAAGACACCATTCATTAATAAAGCCCACTTTAATTATTCTACTCTGGCTTTAGAAGATCAGCTACGACAATTAGAGTGTGAGGAGGAAAGGATGAGATGGGATGAAGTTGGGGAGGGATCCCTGAGGGGGAACGGGGCAGCTTCACAGCAACGCTCCGCCTGTGGACTCTTAAGTAGATTCTTCATTGAGATGCAGGCGGAGTCGGGCACTAATGAGGTAAAGTTATCTCCACTGTTCTGTTTGTATGCCTCATTCTGGACGATGCCTGAGTCATTACTGTATTTTCCAGACTATAAGTCACACTTTTTTTCATAGTCTGGCTGGTCCTGCGACTTATTTACCAAAGTGACTTATACCGCGCTACTGCGGGCCGTGTCCGGACCAGGAATGAGCTCCCCTGCCCCACCATCACCTGCTGCAGCCTGTGGCGGGGTGCTGCGGGCGCTCTACCTGCCCGCTGGGAGGGTTTGAAACACCGCCATCCTTTGCTGGAGACTGTGGCGCGCTGCTGTGCCCTGGTTGTTTATTCTGTTATTGTTACCGGTACTTGTCTTGCAATGTAAAATGCTTGGTCTCAGATTTTGTAAGAAAAATAACAAAATTTCCCCCCAAAATGCAACTTATAGTCCAGTGCGACTTATAGATGTTTTTTTCTTCTTCATTATACATTTTATGGCTGGTGCGACTCATACTCCGGAAAATACGCTAAACTGTTTCTCTGATGGCAGCCTCAGCTTTAGCCTTTACTTCCTGCAGGATGAGCAGCAAACTTTTAGCATTCAGGCTTCTCTGTGGGCTGAATGAACCAGGTTGTTTTCCTAAATAATCAGCAGAGCGATGAAAAGGGCCAGAGAAACTTTAACCTCTGTTATTAAACAAATTACAGACTCTTACCCATAAAATGTCAGCCTGAGATAGCCAATCCTCTCTGCGAGTCTGGCCACGTGGCCTCTCTCGGCGGGAGCCCCCTTCAGGTAGACCACGCCAACCCGCCGCAGGGCCAGAAGCCAAGCGAGTGCTGCCTTATCGTCATGGAGCACTTCCTGGTAATTGGCTGTGGGAATACGCAGTTTGGCGTCCCAATAATAGCGCTCTGAAATGATAAACAGCATGTGGACAAACGTCAGAAGTGTTTAACACAAACTACAGCTATTAGCATGTTTTCTGATGTCTAGATGTTTCTTTAAAGAGTGTTTTTGGTTTCATAATGAACCCAAATCTTGGCTCCTTTTACTTAAAGACACCATAAATCACCAGTGGGAGACACGGATGGACATGTAGGCTGTGCTGTGTTGATAAAATGGACTGGAGCCAGCCAGATGTGCAGCCTGTGAGGAGTTGGAGCATCACACTCTGACATTTAGAGCTCTGTTTCTGTGTTGTGGGTAAAGGGCATAAAGCCCAATAAAGCAAACACTTTCTGTTAGATATGTCACATTTTTACTGCTAGTTCACAAACTTTGGTTATATTTAAAGTGTTTCAGTGATGATTGTTTAAACGTTTAGCTCCCAAGAGGAAGACATTAATCTTTACGTTCTTAATTGCATCCTTTGCTTATTGGAACCTAATATATTTCTAAATGTTGCCGCACACTTGAAGATGAATGGCCTGCCTCCGTCAGACAGACAGAAATGGAAAAGTTCTCCTGTTGCTCTCCACCCAGCTGGCCCCACTCCTCTTTTCCATGCGGCCTGTCTCCTGTGACTTCCACAGAAACAGCTGCTAAGTACATTAGCGGGTGGAGGGGGCTTGATGGAGGAGACTGCCTACCCGTCTTGTGTTTACGGAGCTTCTTCGTGTCTTTTTTAAGCATCCCCAAACTTAAAAGCTTCTCAAAGAACAGGCTGAATCCCAATCCATGAATGTTAGACTCACCTAAGGTGTCTTAAGTCCAAAGCAAATCTGAAAGGTGTGAAAGGTGCAATAGAAATCCTTCAGCTGGTGATGCAGGTTTTTTTAAAGGCAGCAAAGTACAGACAGCTGCTACATCAGTCAGAAACACAGTGATCATCATGACTCTCAGACCTCCCTTCAGGCTGTTGTCACAAACAATCAGTTTATGGCTGCACAACTAAAAGGGTCAAGGACCTGCTGCTTGTTAAAACGTGTCATGAGAGTGGAGGCAGACAACGAGCATGACCAACTAGGGCAAAGGTCAAACCTGGATGCTACAATTACGGTGAAACTGAACCCGGTTTGTTGTGCAGGAGCACTGCAGTGTTGCGGCTCTTCTGGTTGGGTGTGGATTGTGGTAAAAGGGCTGCAGCTCTTGCTGCAGGCTGCATCCACATTAGCTGTGCAGCCCTGGCGTCAGTTCAGCATGAATCTCATTACAAACGCGGATCACGAAGGCTGCTATCAAGACAGTTCACAGTGTGCCTTCTGGGTTGAGCAAAAGGTGGGAATTTTGCATCATTCTCTGATGTTTAATAATGTAATCAGAACATCACAGGGGCTTGTTTTTGACTGAGATGGCTAATCACAACTACAAATGAGACCAGAGGAAGGGCTTTTCACACTAACAGTTGGCATTGAGTTTAGAACAGATAAGAGCTCACTTTGGTTAAAAACCAAGATTACTGTCTATAGTGTACAAAAACACACATATGAGGTCCAAATTATTATAAGATAGCTTTAGTGCCTTCCCAAAGATAAGTCCTAAAACCAGGGCCCTCATTCATCAAACGTTCGTAGAAATATGCCTAAATTCCTTCCTATGGATGAAATTTAGAATGCTGTTATGAAACATGCCTCTTGGACCCATGTTCCTCATGTCTGATGATAAATCCCACCTGTGTGCGTACCCAGGTGCTCGTGTCTGTTCTCGTCCTCAATAAACCATATGTGGTCACGTCACACCCTCAGCGTGTGAGGGGATTCCCTGGGTTCTACCCACCCCCCACCCACCCCCCCACCCCACCCCAAAAAAAAAGAAAACTTTATTGACAGCGAGATCGAGACACTGGCTGCCAAAATGCAACAGAACCAAACAAGCTAAAGAGGTTGTAAATGCGGTCGGGACAGAGGAGAGGTTCCCATCGAAGATAAATAAAAAATGTAATCTGATACATGTGTGATTTGTCTGTCGCTGCACAAAGGATCCCAAATCACAGCAGAGCTCCAGAAGGATCTCCTTCAGGAATCATATTAGCGCGCTCACGGAGGACGTGTTTACTTTGAAGCGTACAGGTGCTGGCCAGTAAATTAGAATATCATCAAAAGGTTGAAAATATTTCAGTAATTCCATTCAAAACGTGAAACTTGTACATTATATTCATGCAATGCACACAGACCAATGTATTTCCAATGTTCATTACATTTAAATTTGATATTCATAAGTGACAACTAATGAAAACTCCAAATTTGGTATCTCAAAAAATTAGAATATTCTGAAAAGGCTGAATATAGAAGACACCTGCTGCCACTCTAATCAGCTGATTTACTCAAAACACCTGCAAAGGCCTTTAAAAGGTCCCTCAGTCTTGTTTTGAAGGCACCACAATCATGGGGAAGACTTCTGACTTAACAGCTGTCCAAAAGACAATCATTGACACCTTGCACAAGGAGGGCAAGACACAAAAGGTGATTGCTAAAGAAGCTGGCTGTTCGCAGAGCTCTGTGTCCAAGCACATTAACAGACAGGCGAAGGGACGGAAAAAATGTGGTAGAAAAAAGTGTACAAGCTCTAGGGATAACCGCACCCTGCAGAGAATTGTGACGACAAACCCATTCAAAAATGTGGGGGAGATCCACAAAGAGTGGACTGCAGCTGGAGTCAGCGCTTCAAGAACCACCACGAGGAGACTCATGAAAGACATGGGATTCAGGTGTCGCATTCCGTGTGTCAAGCCACTCTTGAACAAGAAACAGCGCAAGAAGCGTCTCGCCTGGGCCAAGGACAAAAAGGACTGGACTGATGCTGAGTGGTCCAAAGTTATGTTTTCTGATGAAAGCAAGTTCTGCATTTCCTTTGGAAATCAAGGACCCAGAGTCTGGAGGAAGAGCGGAGAAGCACAGAATCCACGTTGCATGAGGTCCAGTGTAAAGTTTCCACCGTCAGTGATGGTGTGGGGTGCCATGTCATCTGCCGGTGTTGGCCCACTCTGTTTCCTGAGGTCCAGGGTCAATGCAGCCGTCTACCAGGAAGTTTTAGAGCACTTCATGCTTCCTGCTGCTGACCAACTTTATGGGGATGCAGACTTCACCTTTCAACAGGACTTGGCACCTGCACACAGTGCCAAAACCACCAGCACCTGGTTCAAGGACCATGGTATCCCTGTCCTTGATTGGCCAGCAAACTCGCCTGACCTTAACCCCATAGAAAATCTATGGGGTATTGTGAAGCGGAGGATGCAATACGCTAGACCCAACAATGCAGAGGAGCTGAAGACGACTATCAGAGCAACCTGGGCTCTCATAACACCTGAGCAGTGCCACAGACTGATCGAGTCCATGCCACGCCGCATTACTGCAGTTATTGAGGCAAAAGGAGCCCCGACTAAGTATTGAGTGCTATACATGCACATTCTTTTCATGTTCATTCTTTTCAGTTGGCCAACATTAGAGAAACAAACATTTTTTCATTGGCCTTTAGAATATTCTAATTTTCTGAGATACCAGATTTGATGTTTTCATTGGTTGTCACCTATAAATATCAAATTTAAATGTAATGAACATTGGAAATACATTGGTCTGTGTGCATTGCATGAATATAATGTACAAGTTTCACGTTTTGAATGGAATTACTGAAATATTTTCAACCTTTTGATGATATTCTAATTTACTGGCCAGCACCTGTATGCTCTGCTAAATCCTCCAATAATAATAACAATAACAACAATAATAATAATAATAACAATATAAATCATGAGGCGCTTCACAAGGACAATAAATAAAATAATTATAATAAACTAATTAACTAAAAAAGATTAAAATATCATAAAACATGGGAAGAGTAAAAATTGTGATTAAAAAAGTAACACAAGATCAACCATGCTACAATACGTTGGTCACATGTGTCTTTTATAGGTTTTAGCACTAATTAGGAGATAAAGCTGTTTTTCCACCAGAATAATTATTGAATGGGTTTGTGGACGAGGAACATGTGTGGACGACTGAGACCTTCGGTGTTGCGGTTCCTCTGTTCTACCACTAGATGATGTTCGGACCCATGGTCTGAGCCTTTCTTAGATTTAGGACCATTTTCAGACACAGGTACAAAATGAAGAATTCCACACAATCCATAAATTAGCATGAAGTACGCACAGATCTGTGCAAAAGTACAGTAGATAAATGAGGGCCCTGGTGTCTTGTACCTAAATATGGGCCAATTCTTTTTTCCATATACCTCCTGCCACCGGGCAGAGTCCTGGGTCAGTATGGTCTGGACTATCACATCATGCAGACGATTGTAGCGCTGAATGAGAAAAATGTGGGCTCATGATTTTCCGCATGTTTGGCTGGAATGAAGGGCTGGCAGGCATCCAAGTTCCTAAAATTAAATGAGTTAAAGACTGAGTCTATCGGTTTTGACCCTCCAATCACCCTGGCTCTCGGTCTGCTTGTGATGTTTTAACTCTAAACCCTAAATGGTGCGTAACTAGTTTCAAGGTAAAGCTGGATGCCGACCTTAACTCAGAGAACAGCTTAACTCGTCTAAGACCAGTCCTGAAGCGGAGGCACCTGGAACCAGTCATCCATGCTTTTATTACCTCCTGCCTGGACTATGCAAACACACTCCTTGTGGGTATACCAGTTTCTGCCCTGAACGCTGCTGCTAGGTTCCTGACCAACACAAACCAACGTAGCCATACCATCCCTGTCTCCATTGGCTCTCCGTCACCTCCCGTGTACAGTTTAAGTTAATGACTTTTGTTTTAAAGCGTTTCATGGCCACTTTATCTGTCCGACTTGCTCACCCTTATGTGCCTACGAGCATGTTGAGGTCAGCTGATCTCCTGATGCTCTGCACTCCCCAGATGTGCTACAAATCTATGGGTGAACGAGCATTTGTCTATGCTGGCCTAAGCTGTGGAACTCACTTCCCATTGCAGCTCAGCAGGCCCTCTCTTGGCTGTTTTTAAATATCGATG